TCTCTGACTAGCCTGTCTCATGTAGCAGGAGTCTCTGACTAGCTTGTCTTATGTAGCAGAAGCATCTGACTAGCTTGTCTCATGTAGCAGGAGTCTCTGACTAGCCTGTCTCATGTAGCAGGAGCATCTGACTAGCTTGTCTCATGTAGCAGGAACATCTGACTAGCCTGTCTCATGTAGCAGGAGCATCTGACTAGCCTGTCTCATGTAGCAGGAGTCTCTGACTAGCTTGTCTCATGTAGCAGGGACATCTGACTAGCCTGTCTCATGTAGCAGGAACATCTGACTAGCTTGTCTCATGTAGCAGGAGCAACTGACTAGCTTGTCTCATGTAGCAGGAGTCTCTGACTAGCTTGTCTCATGTAGCAGGAACATCTGACTAGCCTGTCTCATGTAGCAGGAGTCTCTGACTAGCTTGTCTTATGTAGGAGGAGCATCTGACTAGCTTGTCTCATGTAGCAGGAACATCTGACTAGCATGTCTCATGTAGCGGGAACATCTGACTAGCTTGTCTCATGTAGCAGGAGCATCTGACTAGCCTGTCTCATGTAGCAGGAACATCTGACTAGCCTGTCTCATGTAGCAGGAGCATCTGACTAGCTTGTATCATGTAGCAGGAACATCTGACTAGCTTTGTCTCATGTAGCAGGAGCATCTGACTAGCTTGTCTCATGTAGCAGGAACATCTGACTAGCTTGTCTCATGTAGCAGGAGTCTCTGACTAGCCTGTCTCATGTAGCAGGAGCATCTGACTAGCCTGTCTCATGTAGCAGGAACATCTGACTAGTCTTGTCTCATGTAGCAGGAGTCTCTGACTAGCTTGTCTCATGTAGCAGGAGCATCTGACTAGCCTGTCTCATGTAGCAGGAGCATCTGACTAGCTTGTCTCATGTAGCAGGAGTCTCTGACTAGCCTGTCTCATGTAGCAGGAGCATCTGACTAGCCTGTCTCATGTAGCAGGAGCATCTGACTAGCTTGTCTCATGTAGCAGGAGTCTCTGACTAGCCTGTCTCATTTAGCAGGAGCATCTGGCTAGCTTGTCTCATGTAGCAGGAGCATCTGACTAGCTTGTCTCATGTAGCAGAAGTCTCTGACTAGCCTGTCTCATGTAGCAGGAGCATCTGACTAGCTTGTCTCATGTAGCAGGAGTCTCTGACTAGCCTGTCTCACGTCACAGGAGCATCTGACTAGCCTGTTTCATGTAGCAGGAGCATCTGACTAGCTTGTCTCATGTAGCAGGAGTCTCTGACTAGCCTGTCTCATTTAGCAGGAGCATCTGGCTAGCTTGTCTCATGTAGCAGGAGCATCTGACTAGCTTGTCTCATGTAGCAGGAGTCTCTGACTAGCCTGTCTCACGTCACAGGAGCATCTGACTAGCCTGTTTCATGTAGCAGGAGCATCTGACTAGCTTGTCTCATGTAGCAGGAGTCTCTGACTAGCCTGTCTCATTTAGCAGGAGCATCTGGCTAGCTTGTCTCATGTAACAGGAGCATCTGACTAGCTTGTCTCATGTAGGAGGAGTCTCTGACTAGCTTGTCTCATGTAGCAGGAACATCTGACTAGCCTGTCTCATGTAGCAGGAGCACCTGACTAGCCTGTCTCATGTAGCAGGAGTCTCTGACTAGCTTGTCTTATATAGGAGGAGCATCTGACTAGCTTGTCTCATGTAGCAGGAACATCTGACTAGCATGTCTCATGTAGCTGGAACATCTGACTAGCTTGTCTCATGTAGCAGGAGCATCTGACTAGCCTGTCTCATGTAGCAGGAACATCTGACTAGCCTGTCTCATGTAGCAGGAGCATCTGACTAGCTTGTATCATGTAGCAGGAACATCTGACTAGCCTGTCTCATGTAGCAGGAGCATCTCACTAGCTTGTCTCATGTAGCAGGAACATCTGACTAGCTTGTCTCATGTAGCAGGAGTCTCTGACTAGCCTGTCTCATGTAGCAGGAGCATCTGACTAGCCTGTCTCATGTAGCAGGAACATCTGACTTGCCTGTCTCATTTAGCAGGAGCATCTGACTAGCTTGTCTCATGTAGCAGGAACATCTGACTAGCTTGTCTCATGTAGCAGGAACATCTGACTAGCTTGCCTCATGTAGCAGGAACATCTGACTAACTTGTCTCATGTAGCAGGAACATCTGACTAGCTCGTCTCATGTAACAGGAGTCTCTGACTAGCCTGTCTCATGTAGCAGGAGCATCTGACTAGCTTGTCTCATGTAACAGGAGTCTCTGACTAGCTCGTCTCATGTAGGAGGAGTCTCTGACTAGCTTGTCTCATGTAACAGGAGCATCTGACTAGCCTGTCTCATGTAGCAGGAGTCTCTGACTAGCTTGTCTCATGTAGCAGGAGCATCTGACTAGCCTGTCTCATGTAGCAGGAGCATCTGACTAGCTTGTCTCATGTAGCAGGAGTCTCTGACTAGCCTGTCTCACGTCACAGGAGCATCTGACTAGCCTGTTTCATGTAGCAGGAGCATCTGACTAGCTTGTCTCATGTAGCAGGAGTCTCTGACTAGCCTGTCTCATTTAGCAGGAGCATCTGGCTAGCTTGTCTCATGTAGCAGGAGCATCTGACTAGCTTGTCTCATGTAGCAGAAGTCTCTGACTAGCCTGTCTCATGTAGCAGGAGCATCTGACTAGCTTGTCTCATGTAGGAGGAGTCTCTGACTAGCTTTTCTCATGTAACAGGAGCATCTGACTAGCCTGTCTCATGTAGCAGAAGTCTCTGACTAGCTCGTCTCATGTAGCAGGAGCATCTGACTAGCTTGTCTCATGTAGGAGGAGTCTCTGACTAGCTTGTCTCATGTAACAGGAGCATCTGACTAGCCTGTCTCATGTAGCAGGAGTCTCTGACTAGCCTGTCTCATGTAGCAGGAGCATCTGACTAGCCAGTCTCATGTAGCAGGAGCATCTGACTAGCTTGTCTCATGTAGCAGAAGTCTCTGACTAGCCTGTCTCATGTAGCAGGAGCATCTGACTAGCCTGTCTCATGTAGCAGGAGTCTCTGACTAGCTTGTCTCATGTAGCAGGGACATCTGACTAGCCTGTCTCATGTAGCAGGAACATCTGACTAGCTTGTCTCATGTAGCAGGAGTCTCTGACTAACCTGTCTCATGTAGCAGGAGTCTCTGACTAGCCTTTCTCATGTAGCTGGAGTCTCTGACTAGCCTGTCTCATGTAGGAGGAGTCTCTGACTAGCTTGTCTCATGTAGCAGGAGCATCTGACTAGCTTGTCTCATGTAGCAGGAGCATCTGACTAGCCTGTCTCATGTAGCAGGAACATCTGACTAGCTTGTCTCATGTAGCAGGAACATCTGACTAGCTTGTCTCATGTAGCAGGAGCATCTGACTAGCCTGTCTCATGTGGCAGGAGCATCTGACTAGCTTGTCTCATGTAGCAGGAACATCTGACTAGCTTGTCTCATGTAGCAGGAGTCTCTGACTAGCCTGTCTCATGTAGCAGGAGCATCTGACTAGCCTGTCTCATGTAGCAGGAGTCTCTGACTAGCTCGTCTCATGTAACAGGAGTCTCTGACTAGCCTGTCTCATGTAGCAGGAACATCTGACTAGCTTGTCTCATGTAGCAGGAGCATCTGACTAGTCTGTCTCATGTAGCAGGAACATCTGACTAGCTTGTCTCATGTAGCAGGAACATCTGACTAGCTTGTCTCATGTAGCAGGAGCATCTGACTAGCCTGTCTCATGTGGCAGGAGCATCTGACTAGCTTGTCTCATGTAGCAGGAACATCTCACTAGCTTGTCTCATGTAGCAGAAGCATCTGACTAGCCTGTCTCATGTAGCAGGAGTCTGTGACTAGCTTGTCTTATGTAGCAGAAGCATCTGACTAGCCTGTCTCATGTAGCAGGAGTCTCTGACTTGTCTCATGTAACAGGAGAGTCACAGGACAACTCACTACCAGGGGTAAGTCCTGACTAGCATGTCTCATGTAGCAGGAGAGTCACAGGATAACTCACTACCAGGGGTAAGTCCTGACTAGCATGTCTCATGTAGCAGGAGCATCTGACTAGCCTGTCTCATGTAGCAGGAGTCTCTGACTTGTCTCATGTAACAGGAGAGTCACAGGATAACTCACTACCAGGGGTGGGTCCTGACTAGCATGTCTCATGTAACAGGAGAGTCACAGGACAACTCACTACCAGGGGTGGGTCCTGACTAGCATGTCTCATGTAACAGGAGAGTCACAGGACAACTCACTACCAGGGGTGGGTCCTGACTAGCATGTCTCATGTAACAGGAGAGTCACAGGACAATTCACTACCAGGGGTGGGTCCTGACTAGCATGTCTCATGTAACAGGAGAGTCACAGGACAATTCACTACCAGGGGTGGGTCCTGACTAGCATGTCTCATGTAACAGGAGCATCTGACTAGCCTGTCTCATGTAGCAGGAGTCTCTGACTTGTCTCATGTAACAGGAGAGTCACAGGACAACTCACTCAAATTGTAAATGAGTGTTTATGGATTTATTGATGTTCCTATAACTCGCGTATTTACAGGTTGCGCATAAATGCACTGTTATTAATTTACACATGTACTATTGGCCTCAGGGCCACTTATACAAATAAATCTGTCTGTCTGTCTGTCTATTTTATCGGCTGATAGAGTAATATCGGCACTTTGATCTATTAGCGAAGTATCTTAGAATTATTTATAATATATTGTCAGTAATAAAACAAGTCGGTAAATTTTGTAATTAAAGATGAAAAATATTAAGCCTTAATTCTGGTTAATCCTGGGACTATCATTAAACATTGTGTTTACTGTTATTTATACATCATAAGACAAAGATTTCTGCCAAAGGGCAATAACGCTCTGATCTGATGGCAATTGGTAGGTGTGTAGTAAAAACACTTCCAAGAAAAAAATCTGCTGATTTTTACATAATATTAATCAACACAAAACAACCAACATCTTAAGAGAGAATGAATATGTTGTCATGGTTACAGGAAGTATGAAGTGTTATGTTTGCAGGGATCATGCTGGTGGGAATGAGAAACTCACCGCTCTTGTTGGAAAAACAATCTATGGTGGAGATGACAGAATCGGAGGACTCACCAACAAGGTCGAACAGGGTGATGAGTTCAAGGTCAGACGCTATGTTTTTGCTAAGAACCAAAGGAAAAAAAACATGATAGTTGATTTTGCCTTTGGAAGCAGAACGTAGTAGTATACACAATAGCGGTTCTTGTGATTAGGTCCTTACCAAAGGCTTAATTTAAAAATTGAGCCTTTGCTTAGTCCCTATCACAGACCCGCCATTGTGTATACTACTACTGAGTTGTATGCAAAATATGAGTAAAATCGGTGCAATAGTTTCTGAAATATTTTTAAAATTAAGCCTTTGGTAAGTCTCTATCACAGTTCCACTATTGTGTATAGTACTTGTGGACGTGTATGCAAAATTTCACAAAAATCGGTTGAATAGTTTAGGAGATACTGACTTTTGAGCGAGCTGTTATGTACAGCTCGTATAGATAAGTAGCTCTCACTCACTCAACACTATCAGTGGTCCTCGTGGTGTGAAGGTAACGGAGCTGGATTGATAATACTGAGGTCCCGAGTTCGAAAAGCAGTAGCATCCGAAACTTTTGCGGATTGGATGTGATAGTGACAGGAGAATAATAGAAGCCAGAGGTTCATACAAGATTGTTTGATACACTTAGATGCCCTAATTCAGACTATATATAGACACCATGGCTCTGCTCGGCTATTCACCTATAGCTGGCTGGCCAGCTGGCTACGTTATGTTGATATCTGCGAAAAACAATTTATTGTGACTCTCCTTCTATGATTTGTTTGGTTTTCATAATGAAGGCTTGTCAGGCCTGTTGCTTCCCTTGTTCTATGAAAACAATTTTCTCGTCTTCGCAAATGACAGCGTTTTTACGAGACTTGGTCCGAATCTCCTGTTTCATTCTGTGATATTTTGCGATTTCTGATAGCACCAAACGAAACTCTTCTTCGGAGATTTGAGAGTCGGTGAGCGCAGTGGAAATATGATTGTCTATCGTGTTTAACTTCGCTTCGGCTAGAATTCTAATTAAGGGTCAATCCCATCAACCCTGCCGCTCCGGCTGTTATTTCGATGCCTAGCACCACGGGTGCGGCCACGATGGTGGATAATAACCCGATACCTGCCATGCCTAATCCCATGCTGACTGAAATCAGAGCGCTGTCAACACCGTCCACAGAATTGACGGCCCTGAGATATTTTTTCTGTAATGTCATCCCGTGATCACGCTCACGCTCTAGTTTTTGTATGATCTCAAGATATCTGTTGCAAAACCAAAACCCGCTTCACGGTTTCCAGTGTCTTTGCTACTTCATCCACGCATCGGGTACAGTCCCATCCTGTGTGTATATATATATTTTTATAAATTAATATTTAATTGGTTTTCTGTCAATCTTTGATGAATATATTTTAAGCTGATGAAATACAAGTGCTCGGATAAAAAAATGGTCCGAGTAAAATGTTAGGGTTCTGAAAACCATGACCCCTCGAGGCTTTGTGGTAGGGACTCTTCCTGGTTGTATATAACAACGACATAACGCTTATATTGATGCATGCATCGTTGCCAGCCAGTATTTTAACCCCAACAGAATTCTCACATCTTCTCCGGGGCATCTCCAAGAAAGACTTCAATAATATGTGTAGAACCTTTGTATCACGCTTTCGATCCACGAAGTTTGGGACTTCAGTATATCTTCTTAATTCTAACCATTTATGTTTGTTTTCTGGACGGGCGACTAACATATTACCTGTTTGATCTGGTAATGTTGATACGTACATCCCCTTTTTTGTACCTGGAACAAAACTGTTCAGTACAACCCCCTTATTTTTTAGCTTGATGACATTACCATCATCATCCTTGACAACATAGGGGGTGGTAAGGATAATATCGATGATCCAGTTCAACTGAGATTCGATGATGACTTCTCGTCATTTGTACACGTTATTTTGTAAGCGCAGGACGTACAAGGCGTTTTCCTTGCCGGGCAGATTGAATCCATCCATGTCCCCGAGATCGGCTAGCGTGACGGTGAGTTGATGGTTCATCTCGTTTTTATATATATAATGTGTTACAAAATGGTTTTCAATTGGTTTTCGGATAATTTCTTAAACGTGCACTTCAAGCCTATGAAATGTATGTTGTCGGGTAGGAAAATTTTGGTGAAGCTTATCGTGTCTTCCACGGTGATGGTGACTCCCTGCAGGCTGGTGTATACGCGTTCCGGCGCTCACCACAACGTAAATGGAGCAAAGCGGTGGTTGTTGTTTCTTGACCAGCGGAGTTTGATCCCTCCTCATGATTTCACTTCGTGCAATGCAGACGGGGTTCGCCTAGGAAGACTTGTATGATCAGCATGGAATTCACCGGCAGATTTTCCTTGACGCTAACCAATTCGCTGAATTCGACACCATCTGCAAACTTATGTTTTGCATCCCAGGTTTGCTCCGATAGCTGTGGTGCCAATTCTTTATGAGAGCGGCTGAGGATCACGCTTGCATCTTTTGCATCCGGACGTAAGCCATGAGTCTCAAAGTGTTTTCTCCGTTGTTGACCAACATGACCCTGCCGCTCGAAGTCGCTCATTTTGAGTTCGGCTCCCCACGGTTTTGAATATTTCTTTGTTGAGCGAGCACACGCTGTAGTAGCCAGCCCGTTATTTGGTTGCGCTTTGTCGCTGACTAACAGCCTGTAGTTGTGTCCGCTGATGTCGGTCCATTGGCGGTAGTAGGTGATGTCGAGAGCCGACTTTGAGCTGACCGGACATGTTATCGATCGCGATGCAGCAGTAGAACGCATTCGGGCCATTGCGGATTCCCGTGAAGTGTCACGCATACATATTGAAAAAGTAGATATGTGTACCTATATATATAACAATTCAAAATATGTACAAACCGGTGTTTTATTCTAAAAGTGATAATATAAGTTGCTACCGATCTCACGCTTAACCGGAAAGCATTGTGGTCGATGCAAAGGATGGTTTACATTTCATGGTTCGGGTTCATCGATGTGTTTAAAACTTACAGGTTTTCAGTCACTTAATGTGAAAACGGTACATACTTGGTTCCACAACCCGATACAGTTCTGGCAGAATCAATTCAATTTCGCCGTTAATTCGCTGGCGACTGCGCGAAGGCGTGACGCTGAACGACACTCGTCGCGATGCTACCGAGTCGGTCCGCGGTGCTATTTTCATCGTGTTCTACCAGATCAGACGATTTTGAAAAATCAGCAGCTCGATTCCGCAGGACAAGGAGTGGAATGCCTTAAACAATCCATAATGATCGACGCGGCGCATCGAACATGTTTCGCGATGAATTCAACTAGATCCAAAGACGGTCGATGGGCGCTTGTCGGGTCCAACCACGGTTTGGGCATTCCCATCGCTCACAACATCTTTCTGGAAGCCAGCAAACAGCTGGTTAAAGATTGGGGTTACAAGTCGTATCATTACGCCACGACAAACGAGTAGAACGACGATTACATGGCTTTTGATGACAGCAAGGATAACCGCGTTTGGAGGTTTGAGCAGGGATCCGTGGACGATTGGAAAATGTTCATGCTGGACACTTCGAAAGGGTTAACTCATGTCAGAGTCGCCAGATTGAACGTGACGCGGTGGGCCGGTGGTTGGCGCCAGACGCTTAACGGCGCTCCAGCATTGTGGGCTTGGTGGTGGTGGTGTGCCTCCCCGTCAGCGCTATGACCAAAGCCCAAAGCCGTATGCGATGGTGATTCCTTTGTTCCCAGAACAACGCTCTAATCCTGTTATTGAACGTGGCGCCCCTCGCTCAAGACTCGGTCGATGGTTTTACGCGACGCTGCTGATCTTGGGATCGAAGCTCTTTCTTCGAAGGAGGACACCACTTCCAATCGATCTTTCCTCTTCCAAGTTGGCGTAATCTTTCCACGATCCGGACGTCGACTGAAGTCGCCGCTCTCAGCTTCTGGCCGAAGTTTTTTTCAGGAGCCGATATGCTCATCGATCGCGCGGTCCAGTTTGGCTACCTTGTCCACAAGCGCATCCTCGAATGGTTTGCATGGCCTTGTCCAGCCCCTCGCGAGTTCCGAAAGGTAAATTTGAACCCGGCAAACTTTCGCTCCGCACAATCGGGTCAATAGTTTTTCGAGGTCTTTCGACGCGCCTTGAGCGCTGTGGTATGTATCTCTCAGATCATCTCGACTGACTGCACTCGCCAAGGCATCGAGCTCAGCATTCACTTCTCGTAAAGCCTTATCGAACTTCCTGCTTATTTTTTGTCGATAGCTGGTTGTATTTAATTTGTTACAGATAAAGTCGGCACCGTGGCGACTGGCCAGTGTGTGGACAAAGCGAGAGGTTTTCTCGTACGATAGTGCATGAGATCGATGCCCGGAGCATCTTTCACTCGCAGTATCCCTTTATGATTGAGTTCGAACTTTGAAGGATCGCAATGAAGAGGAGCTATATTATCTTTTTGCTCCAGGTCATCGTAATAATCATTTACGGTTGTTTTTAGCAGATCATCGCCTTGCCTGAACGAGGTGTCATCGTCACCATGTGAACGTGCTGGCCGATTGATGAAAGGCATCTTGATTGTTCTCGTGGCGGAATACGAGCCGTTTCGAAGAGACAGCGAACTCACTTGGAATCCCGAGATCACAAAAGTGGAAGTGAGTGTCGAAGCAAGCCCAACCAGCTGTTCAGCCAAGGCATGCGAGCTTACCAGCAGTGGGACAAGATATTTGTACGTGATCATGGACGCGCAACTCAATATAGACAATGGAAGATTCGTGCAAGCCATTTATTGATTTACCTCGCTATCCCCACTGCGCCATCGTGTGCGGTCAGACGGGGGTGTGGCAAGACGGCATTCGTGCTGGACATGCTGGAAGGTTACTATCGCGACGTGTTCGACCACATTGTCATCCTCTGCCCGACTTTACGGGTGAATAAGACGTACACGGAGAGACCGTGGGTGATGACGGACCCGGGAGTGCACAAAATCGATCCTGGAACTCGTCTGCAGGACTGGTTGCGCGCTTACCGAAAAAATCGACAAGCTGTACGCGAGATACGAAGCCAAACTCGGCGCCAAAATGACGAAAACCATAGGGTCGGTCATAACGCAGATCTACGCCGGCGTAGCGTCGTACTTCCTTCCCATTCCGCCAGATAGTCGACTTTACCTGTGGAAGATATCGAGAAAGATCCGTTCATCAACCACGCTTTGAGCGCCGTCAGCTGCATGCTGTACCACAGATACGGCATGTTTTTGGCTCCGGTGACAGCGGCGATCATCACGGCAAAGCACTGTAAATTTAAAGAAGAAAAAAATAATAATGATTATAATATGCAACATGGATGCGTAACAGGAGGAAACGCCAACGCCGACGGAGGAGGAAGCAGCGTCGACACCGATATGACTAGTCACCACCATCAAGAATCCTAAAAAAGTCGCTGCCGGTAGAAAAGGTGGTTTAGCCAAGCACCACAAAAATAATAATAATAATAATACTCCATGGATTGTTGCTGCCATGGCAACGGAATAAGCGTAGTTGTCGTCGACGTTATGCTGCTATATAATAATAACAAGCAACCACCACCACCAACACAATAGCAGACGACGCAATCACAATTAGAAATAAATCTGCATGTTATGTTATAAAAAATATATATATATTTTATATATAAATATATATATATTTTATATATACACACACGATGTCGTCCGAAGGAAAAACATTTCTTAACGATGCATATCACACCGTCGTGGTTGCCGGACTAACCATAGGTTACGCTCGCTTAACGAAAATGGTTCTCAAACAGCCTATGATCAAACTCGATTTCACCGTGCAGGACATGGGCATGCTCATCATGGACTTAGGGATGGCCATGGCCACCAAGGATGTTCTCGTGAAACAAGGAATCATACCGGAAAATATTAAAAAAACACATAATATATTTCTTTTTAAAATGGCTACTATCGTCATGATGGTCGGTGGTGCAATTATCAACGCCCTTGCATTTTCGGGCAGCAATTATCTCTTCTCCAAATTACGAACGTCAAACGTGGTCAAAGTGGAAGCGGAACATAAACGTCACGAATCGGCAATGAACCCACCCTCTCACAGTTTTACACTCCTCCCCCAGAACAAAAAGACCAGGAACTAATTTTAGTGGCACTGGGTCTAGCGGCGACCGTGTTGATTAGACTAAAAATATATTTAAGTGTATATACATAAAGATGGGAAGGCGTGCACCTTTTAACTGCAAGTACGTGCGTTTCTCGGCAAAACCGAAACCTGCGGCAGGAAATGCACAACCAACTATTGCGGTATACACATGATGTCCATACGAAGAGGTTTCACAACTACACGCCTGAAGCGCGCAAAGGAGTGAAATGTCATTATCACCGCTAAAGGCTCCATGGATGGACGCGGGTCCGAGGTCATCTCATCTACTTGACAAAAAGAGACTATCTCAACGAACGCAACCGACTGCTCAGAATAAAATGTGATATGTTTACATGTGATTCATTTTCAAAAACTCGTCAGTAAGAAGGCTGACAGAGTTATCTGCCCATTTTTCAACTATTTAGCGAACAACCTATTAGAGATTTGACTTCGCATCTGAATATAATTATTTTTCATTTAGAAAAAGTTTTCACACATTGATATAGCAACGAATGAAAATCCTATTAGATATTTGACTTCACATGTGTAAAGACCCTATTAGAGATTTGACTTCGCATCTGAAAAAACCCTATTAGAGATGACTTCGCATCTGGATATAGCAACAATGCCAACTGTTCGAGAACTGAAAAAGATTGCCAAAAAACGGAGAGTGATCGGTTACTCCAGTTTGAGGAAACCCGAGTCTGTCGATGCGTCCACTGACACCTCGTTGCAAAAAATACGAGAATCCCTGGAACGCTACACCCACATGGGTTCGGGCTGGGTCGTTGACTAGATTGACACAGTCTACCTGGACGTGGCGAACTACGTGCCGTTCAAAGGCGGAACGTACATGGACCTGCCACCATACTACAAAAATAAAAAGGCAATCGTTAACCCTATGATAGCCGCCAGGTATGAACCGGCCAGGCAATCCGTCACGAACCGCAGGTATGCAGGCTTCCAGCTATCCGGTCGATCGAGGAATCCGGGTTCGACTTCACGGGCGTAGAACGCTTAATGCCCATCTCCTACTGGACGCGATTTCGAAAAACTAAACAATTTTGCTGTCAACGTCTTCGGACACGAAGGCAATAAAACCATCGTGCACCAAATCAGCTCCATGTGGGACGTTGTGTGCATCACTACATGGCGATTAAAAGTCTGAGCCGACTGTTGCACGACCATTCGAAATACGACGGAAAAAAACACTTTTCTGAACGGTGCCTGCACGGCTTCACGCGAGCCGACCTGCTGGAAACACACTGGGAGGATTGCTGAGGCGTGGGACAGACGGCTGTCCGAATCGACATGCCGACTGAAAACAACGTCTTGAAATTCGTCAACCACAAACATCAAATGCCTTACGTCATCTACGCCGACTTCGAAGCCCTCATCGACACCGTCGCTCCGTCCCCGGACAAAAGTTTCACGCTCAAAATGCAGGCACACGAAGCTTGCGGGTTCAGTTACATGGTTGTCCGATGTGATGGACGAACGAACGAACGCTGCCGTCATCTACCGAGGTCCCTGGGCGGCCGAAACATTTCTCAAGTTCTTACAACGGGAAGAGAGAAAAATCAGAGAAGAGTTGTCAGATCCTGCTCTCATGCGCATGACGTCGAGGGACAAGTTCGTTCATCGAGGAGCTAGATAATGCCACGTGTGCGACGAACCCCTGAACGGGGATGTCATGAGAGATCATTGCCACGTCACCAGCAAGTACAGAAGTGCCGCTCACAACGCCTGCAACCTGAAGCTCAGAATCAATCCCAAAACCATCAAAATCCCTGTCGTGTTTCACAATCTTCGCGGGTACGATTCCCACTTGATCATGCAGGCCATCTCAAAAGTCGACGGCAAAATAACGTGCATCCCCAACAACATGGAAAAATACATCTCGTTCTCCTTAGACGGTCTGAGATTTATCGACAGCGTTCAGTTCCTGCTGTCGTCTCTGGACAGTCTGGTGAACGCCAACGACCCGAAAGGACTTCGACATCACCAATCGATACACCGACGCCGAGACTCGACCTCTGCTGCTGAGGAAGGGCGTCTACCCCTATGAGTACATGGACGACTGGTCCAAGTTCGACGAGACGCGATTGCTTCCCATATACCGCTTTTACAGCAACTTGACCGACTCGACTATCTCACAGGACGATTACGAGCACGCCCTCAACGTGTGGGACAAACTGGGCTGCAAGAATTTGGGTGATTACCACGACCTGTACTTGAAAACAGACGTACTGCTGCTGGCCGACGTGTTCGAGATATTCAGAAAAACGTGCTCGAAACAGTACGGCTTAGACCCTGTGTGGTATTTCTCATCCCCCAGTCTCTCTTGCGATGCCTTGTTGAAAAAGACCGGCGTGGAACTGAAACTACTGACGGATTACGACATGCACCTGTTCGTGGAGAAAGGTCTGCAAGGGTGGATTTCCATGACAACCAAACAGTACGCCAAAGCCAACAACAAGTACATTCCCGGTCACGACTCGAGCAAACCGACCAAACACATCCTCTATCTCGACGCCAACAACCTGTACAGCTGGGCCATGAGTCAGTATCTCCCCACCGGGGGATTCGAATGTGTCTCCCCGACCGATATTGACGTGAATAGCATCGCACCGGATTCGAACAAAGGCTACGTACTCGAAGTGGACTTGGACTATCCCGCAGAACTACACACTAATCGCACAACAGCTATCCGCTTAGCTCCCGAACGATTGACGGTCAACCCGACTGATGTCTGAATATCAGCTAAACTTGCTGGGAAACAATAAGCCGCCTAACGCCGAAAATCTCGTGCACCAACTTGATGAACAAGACAAAATACATCGCTTCACCATCGCAACCTGCAGCTGTAATTTGTCGCTGGGAATGAAACTCACAAAATACACAGGGTGCTCGAAGTTCGATCAAAGTCCGTGGATGGAGCTCTACATCAGAATGAACACGATTTACTAAAGCTGGCCACCAGCGATTTCGGTGAAAAACTTGTACAAGCTCATGAACAACTCAGTGTTCGGCAAGATGATGGAGAATTTGAGAAAACGCGTTAACGTGAAGCTAGTCAGATCCAGCAAGGAAGAAAAACTCATGAAACTCATAGCCAGCCCGGCGTCCAACCGCAGCAAAATATTTGACGACTTGGCAGCGCTGCACATGAACAAAAGTTACATCAAATTCAACCGGCCCTGTTTACTTGGGGATGAGCATCCTCAACTTATCCAAACACTTGAGTCAGGATAAGTATAAAAATATCAATTTTACTTGAAAAATTACATTTTTCACTGAAAAGCATGCTCGGTACTTGTAATGTCACAGATTTGTGTGACTATAAATTCAGATGTCGTCATGGTGATATTTAGATAAACAATATTTTAGAATTTGTTGCCTGGTATAGAGAACAAAAATCAATGCTTAATTCTGCATTCTCACTTTGCATCTTGCTCAAGAATTGTCAGGCCATTGTGAATTGACTGACTGACTACAATGTCATTGTATGAATTGTATAATCATTGACTGACTACAACGTCATTGTATGAATTGTATAATCATTGACTGACTGGCTACACCGTCACTGCCTGAATTGTATAATCATTGACTGACTGGCTACACCGTCACTGCCTGAATTGTATAATCATTGACTGACTGACTACACCGTCACTGCCTGAATTGTATAATCATTGACTGGCTGCAACATCATTGCAGATCGGCAGTTTGAAAGTGAGGTGCCTGTTTACGCCATGCCACACGTCTGGCCACATCTGCTATCTTGTGACTGGGAAGGAGGGAGAAGCCCCTGCAGTTTTCACAGGTCTGTGTCTGTAGTCCAGCTTGTCCATGATGGTTAGATGTCAAGCAAGTGAACTGTGTTTGTTTGTTTTAATTTATGTAACATTTCCAAGTCACTGTTACTGATAAGACCTGACAACCCAGGGTACAGCTTGGAACAAATAAGAAAAATGTTAGTATGATAGTAATAATAAAAATGAAAAAGATATACAGACAACTCTAGAAAGCACAAGCACTGTTAATGAGTTCCTGAAGCCATTGTTATGCATGCTATTACTATTAGGAGGATTCATATTAGCATGATTAAAGGCATGGATGCATTAAGAAATCGCCTCCTGGCAGTAACAATGAATGCCAGGGAGATCGATTATTTTTGTGGCTATTTTGCCAACATGTGAAACTTGTTTTAAAATACCACTGATGTAGCTATGAGATAACTCGTGAGTGGCAAATTCTGCCAGAATTGATACTCACGAAAGTATACCCTTGATAGGCAGTCAACGCAGTTAAGGACCATGTTGTCTTTAGATATAACTCTAACAGGGCTCCAGATAATTTTTCAGCATCAGGAGTACGTACTCCTTATTATTTTGTCAATACAGGAGTACTGGAAAACCTTAAGAGTACTGAATGGAATTTAATGGAGTGTCAGTAATCTTGTGTTTCGTTTCATATATGCACCACAACATTGCTACTCTTGTGTAAACAGGTGAATACACAATAAAACAAACAATTTTCAGATAAATACGCCTGTAAATGACTCTAAGACCCTACACCATTGCTGTGGTGCTGTGATCTGCTCACGCTTTTAAACTATTTCCTACCGTGATCGCAGGCATATTTTTATCCATTACATATGCCGATACAGCTCCTTTATCTGGAGCCCTGCTCTAACGTGAGTCTCATTCACATGTACATCAATCCACACCAACAACAATTATAAAGTGTAATAACAATAATAAAGTGTAATGTAGTGACATCAAGCAGAAATTTAAGTACACAAGAATTATTGGACATACATTTATTAGATCAAGCCCACTGAGCTCCAGAAGTAGAAATGTCTACATTAACTAGTTCATGGTAGAACATCAACTTGGTATTGAACAGATCTTGTTGGCTGTTGCTTTAAGAAAATCAAGGGTTCTTTTCAACACTTTACCTAAGCAACAATAAATCAAACACATGGTCAGTATATCTGTATTTTCCTTCAAATCAAACAGAATAAGTAGGAGGTCAAATTTCACATTATGGATATATCGACACTTTTCTTAAAATAGGCTAACCTGGGTAATGTTTGTGTAGGGGTCAAACTGTTCTTGGGAGATGTTGTTTGTGTAGGGAGTCACACTGATTTTTGTGTAGGGTCAAACTATTCCATGGAGATGTTGTTTGTGTATGGGTCAAACTATTCCATGAGATGTTCCTAGTTTGTGTAGGGTCATACTGTTCTAGTGTGATGTTGTTTGTGTAGGAGTCACACTGTTCTAGTGTGATGTTGTTTGTGTAGGAGTCACACTGTTCTAGTGTGATGTGTTTCTTGTGTAGGGAGTCACACTGTTCTAGTGTGATGTTGTTTGTGTAGGGGAGTCACACTGTTCTAGTGTGATGTTGTTTGTGTAGGGAGTCACACTGTTCTAGTGTGATGTTGTTTGTGTAGGGAGTCACACTGTTCTAGTGTGATGTTGTTTGTGTAGGGAGTCAAACTGTTCTAGTGTGATGTTGTTTGTGTAGGGGTCAAACTATTCCATGGAGATGTTGTTTGTGTAGGGGTCAAACTGTTCCATGATGTTGTTTGTGTAGGGGTCAAACTATTCCATGGAGATGTTGTTTGTGTAGGGGTCAAACTATTCCATGGAGATGTTGTTGTTTGTGTAGGGGGTCAAACTATTCCATGGAGATGTTGTTTGTGTAGGGGTCAAACTGTTCCATGGAGATGTTGTTTGTGTAGGGGTCAAACTATTCCATGGAGATGTTGTTTGTGTAGGGGTCAAACTATTCCATGGAGATGTTGTTTGTGTAGGGGTCAAACTATTCCATGGAGATGTTGTTTGTGTAGGGGTCAAACTATTCCATGGAGATGTTGTTTGTGTAGGGGTCAAACTGTTCCATGGAGATGTTGTTTGTGTAGGGTCAAACTATTCCATGGAGATGTTGTTTGTGTAGGGGTCAAACTATTCCATGGAGATGTTGTTTGTGTAGGGGTCAAACTATTCCATGGAGATGCTGTTTGTGTAGGGGTCAAACTATTCCATGGACATGTTGTTTGTGTAGGGGTCAAACTATTCCATGGAGATGTTGTTTGTGTAGGGGTCAAACTATTCCATGGAGATGTTGTTTGTGTAGGGGTCAAACTATTCCATGGAGATAGGGGTTGTTTTCCATGGAGATGTAGTTTGTGGGGTCAAACTATTCCATGGAGATGTTGTTTGTGTAGGGGTCAAACTATTCCATGGAGATGTTGTTTGTGTAGGGGTCAAACTATTCCATGGAGATGTTGTTTGTGTAGGGGTCAAACTATTCCATGGAGATGTTGTTTGTGTAGGGGTCAAACTATTCCATGGAGATGTTGTTGTTTGTGTAGGGTCAAACTATTCCATGGAGATGTTGTTTGTGTAGGGGTCAAACTATTCCATGGAGATGTTGTTTGTGTAGGGGTCAAACTATTCCATGGAGATGTTGTTTGTGTAGGGGTCAAACTATTCCATGGAGATGTTGTTTGTGTAGGGGTCAAACTATTCCATGGAGATGTTGTTTGTGTAGGGGGTCAAACTATTCCATGGAGATGTTGTTTGTGTAGGGGGTCAAACTGTTCCATGGAGATGTTGTATTTGTAGGGGTCAAACTATTCCATGGAGATGTTGTAGTAGGGTCAAACTATTCCATGGAGATGTTGTTTGTGTAGGGGTCAAACTGTTCCATGGAGATGTTGTTTGTATTTTTGTAGGGGGTCAAACTGTTCCATGGACATGTTGTTTGTGTAGGGGGTCAAACTATTCCATGGAGATGTTGTTTGTGTAGGGTCAAACTATTCCATGGAGATGTTGTTTGTGTAGGGGTCAAACTATTCCATGGAGATGTTGTTTGTGTAGGGGTCAAACTATTCCATGGAGATGTTGTTTGTGTAGGGGTCAAACTGTTCCATGGAGATATTGTGTTTGTGTAGGGGTCAAACTGTTCCATGGAGATGTTGTTTGTGTAGGGGTCAAACTATTCCATGGAGATGTTGTTTGTGTAGGGGTCAAACTGTTCCATGGAGATGTTGTGTAGGGGGTCAAACTGTTCCATGGAGATGTTGTTTTGTGTCAAACTGTTCCATGGAGATGATGTTTGTGTAGGGGTCAAACTGTTCCATGGACATGTTGTTTGTGTAGGGGGTCAAACTGTTCCATGGAGATGTTGTTTGTGTAGGGGTCAAACTATTCCATGGAGATGTTGTTTGTGTAGGGGTCAAACTGTTCCATGGAGATGTTGTTTGTGTAGGGGTCAAACTATTCCATGGAGATGTTGTTTGTGTAGGGGTCAAACTGTTCCATTGAGATGTTGTCTTTGTAGGGGGTCAAACTATTCCATTGAGATGTTGTTTGTGTAGGGGTCAAACTGTTCCATGGGCATGTTGTCTTTGTAGGGGTCAAACTATTCCATGGACATGTTGTTTGTGTACGGGGTCAAACTGTTCTATGGAAATGTTGTCTTTGTGTAGGGTCAAACTATTCCATGGACATGTTGTTTGTGTATGGAGATGTTGTTTCTGTAGTCAAACTTTCTGGAGATGTTGCTGTAGAGCATGTTCCATTCAAGCTGTCGGAGATGGTGTGAAATATGATGTTGTTGTTGTAGGGGACACACTGTTCCAAGGTGGCTGTGGGAAATTCTTTGAAGGGACAGCAGAGCAGATGCACAAGGCCTTGATAAAGACCTTGTCTGTACTGCCACAGGAAACAGTGAGTGACCTATTTCCATATCATACTATCTTCCGCCACCTGAGCAGCACAGATATCCTGTAACACTACTGAATCAGAATGAAACTACAAACAAGTTTGGATTCTTTCATAATTGATTCCAGAAGACGAACTCGAGTTAATCCTTGCACAAAATGACACAAGTACCGTTTGACTCCCTATGTGATTACAGAAGGTGTACTGTGGCCATGAGTACACAGTGTCGAATCTGAAGTATGCCGCCCATGTGGAACCAGCAAGTGAGGCAGTGGCAAGCAGGCTGGCCTGGGCTCAGGTAGGTCGCTGAAACAGTGGGGATTGTGTGTTTAGGTGGGTGTGATGTGCAACTTCAGCTGGGACTGGTATGTTATTGTAGTTAGGACTGGTATACAGCTGTAATTAGGACTGGTATGCAAATAGTTGGGTCTGGTATGCAAATAGTTGGGTCTGGTATGCAAATAGTTGGGTCTGGTATGCACCTGTAGTGGGGCTGGTATGCACCTGCAGTGGGGCTGGTATGTACCTGTAGTGGGGCTGGTATGCACCTCCAGTGGGGCTGGTATGTACCTGTAGTGGGGCTGGTATGTACCTGTAGTGGGGCTGGTATGTGACTGTGGTGGGGCTGGTATGCACCTGTAGTGGGGCTGGTATGTACCTGTAGTGGGGCTGGTATGTGACTGTAGTTGGGCTGGTATGTACCTGTAGTGGGGCTGGTATGCACCTGTAGTGGGGCTGGTATGTACCTGTAGTGGGGCTGGTATGTGACTGTGGTGGGGCTGGTAGGCACCTGCAGTGGGGCTGGTATGTGACTGTAGTGGGGCTGGTATGTGACTGTGGTGGGGCTGGTATGTACCTGTAGTGGGGCTGGTATGTGACTGTAGTGGGGCTGGTATGTACCTGTAGTGGGGCTGGTATGTACCTGTAGTGGGGCTGGTATGCACCTGCAGTGGGGCTGGTATGTGACTGTAGTGGGGCTGGTTTTATGACTGTAGTGGGGCTGGTTTTAAGACTGTAATGGTATGTAACGGTAGTTGGAACCAGTGTTGGAACCAGGGGACATATCTGACCCCTTTTGAAACCAGTCATCTCTCCGTTACAGAATCAGAGAGCCAAGCGTGAAGCAACAGTGCCATCCACAATTGGAGAAGAGATGCTTATAAATCCTTTCATGAGAGTCAGGTATGCCCCTACTGCACAAAGCTCCACAAATCCCCACTGTCCTGAAGTCCCGGCAGTATTTTACACATATAACCTCTGCTGTAATGAACAATAACCCCTGCTGTACTCAACACAGAGCCCTGCTACAGTCAGCACAAATCCCGACTGGGCTAATCACAAAGCCATGTTGCTATTATGATAAGGGTCTTGGGTCCAAGTGATGGTTCCGGTGAAACACCTTATCTAACTGGCGTGCTGGTCTGCTTGGGGGAATTAACTCAGCAAAAGAGTCCGAAGTCACAAGAAGCTAATCACAATTTTATTTACAAGAACGGAGTAACATGGGGTGGCCACAGAGAGTCGGTACAACCCTCTGGGCTGAGGGCTAGAGCTGACCTGTGTTGGGAGTCTAAACCCTACTCATGGACAAATGAAGATAGAGACATTTTATCTACAATTAAAACAATAAAGAGATTATGATTGGTTGACTGATACAAAAAAATGGGTGTAACCTACATTAGCCTATCAAATACAGAATATACTAAATGGGGTGGGTCCTTCAATGACCAGACAGGGCAATCACTCTTAATCCTTGTTAATCCTAGTTTAACTGGCACTAATCTCGATGGCACTTTTACTGGATGCTTGATGCTTACCTGGGCTAGATCTCAATGAGCCTAATCTGATGTGTCAATTACAGGTGCTTGGATTACAATAGATGCATTTAATCGTCTGGTCATAACTCTGAATTACTGAAAGGGTTGCTAACAGCTTGAGTCCTCAATACCTTAGGCTAGGATTTTATCTTGGATATCTGTGAAATTGTGTAGCCGTAATTTATACCTTTTTCAATAGTATGTCTGTGAGATGAGTTTTACAACTTTTGACTGGAGTCTTTCTCTAAGCTATTACTAATATTCTATATTTATATTTTCCTAATATCTGAATCCTAATATATTGCTTGTAGTGGTAATAATGAATAATGAATTTTATATGAATTGTTATCCACTATTATGATAAGGGTCTTGGGTCCAAGTGATGGTTCCGGTGAAACACCTTATCTAACTGGCGTGCTGGTCTGCTTGGGGGAATTAACTCAGCAAAAGAGTCCGAAGTCACAAGAAGCTAATCACAATTTTATTTACAAGAACGGAGTAACATGGGGTGGCCACAGAGAGTCGGTACAACCCTCTGGGCTGAGGGCTAGAGCTGACCTGTGTTGGGAGTCTAAACCCTACTCATGGACAAATGAAGATAGAGACATTTTATCTACAATTAAAACAATAAAGAGATTATGATTGGTTGACTGATACAAAAATGGGTGTAACCTACATTAGCCTATCAAATACAGAATATACTAAATGGGGTGGTCCTTCCAATGACCAGACAGGGCAATCACTCTTAATCCTTGTTAATCCTAGTTTAACTGGCACTAATCTCGATGGCACTTTTACTGGATGCTTGATGCTTACCCTGGGCTAGATCTCAATGAGCCTAATCTGATGTGTCAATTACAGGTGCTTGGATTACAATAGATGCATTTAATCGTCTGGTCATAACTCTGAATTACTGAAAGGGTTGCTAACAGCTTGAGTCCTCAATACCTTAGGCTAGGATTTTATCTTGGATATCTGTGAAATTGTGTAGCCGTGATTTATACCTTTTCAATAGTATGTCTGTGAGATGAGTTTTACAACTTTTGACTGGAGTCTTTCTCTAAGCTATTACTAATATTCTATATTTATATTTTCCTAATATCTGAATCCTAATATATTGCTTGTAGTGGTAATAATGAATAATGAATTTTTGTATGAATTGTTATCCCATGATAACTTCCCCACTGTTCGAAAAAGTTTGGTCCCCAAACTTGGACAATAAAAAAAATTTCTTAGATGGACAATGGTATAAACTTAGTTGATGGACAATGGTAGAATAGTAAATGGTAATTAGATTGTCTCTTTGGTACTGGGGCACAAGTTCCTTCTGCTGTCATCTGGTCGCCTGGATGTGGAATCGGGCTTGTCATGGCTCTGTGTACTGGTTCTTATGTTTCCAGGAGGCCTTGTGATGGTTCCACATCCTGATTTTGGAGTTGACTTCTCCATTATCCCATGCAGACAGATGATTTACATGAAAAATTCAAAACAAAAGAGAGTTAGCTTGCTGCCAACAATATACATGTAACTATTTTGGTTTGTGCGGAATAATGCACATAAAGATACTTTTCCCGCAAATAAATTGTCTATTAGTGCATTGTAAGAGGTGACTTTTATGTATTGGAAGTCATGACCTGGAATAATGCATGGGCAGTTAATACAACGCATACATGGGGTGATAAACACATAAATGTCATGTATGAGCAAATATATATACATGTGCTTGTGCTTTTAACAAGTGCATTAGTTCATTGAATCCATACATATACATATTGTGTTAAGAACCATTTGTTAGGCAAACCTTGTTAATTTGATTGATTGTGTTAGTCTTTAAACATCTTAATTTGTTTAGGATTTTTTTTATTTTGTTTTATTTTATTTGATTTTAGGTTTAGGTTTACCTTGATTTATCAGTCTGAGCTTACTTCACCAGTTTTGGTTCATTGTAATTCAGCTCAGCCTGTACGCTTTGGCTGACTTTTGGTTTACAGCATTTTGCACATTATTGTTTGTGCAGTGCTTATTTTTGCTTCCATTTCAGCATTGGTTAAGTTTGTTCACCGGTACGGCTTATTTCGCTTCGCTTCGCGCTGCTGTATATATTATTCCATCAAGCCGATTTATTTCAAGGTTTGTTTAAGGCTGGCTAAGTTTGTATAAGTTCACTTTGCTTTTGAGATTGGTTGATCAGATCAATGCTCAAAAGTTGTTGTGATGCAAATAACTCAGATGATCAGGCTGATGCCATTTGTTCACAACTAGTGTCATCAGGTAACACAATGTGAAATGACTTGACACAAAATTACCTACCTAGAGCTTAACAGTGCAGTTTATTGAGGAGACCTTGTACCTTTTGCAGGTATATGGCTATCTGGCACCACAGGTAAATATCGAGTGAATATTGATATGGTATGTCGGGTCTGTGACATTCGTAGTGATACACAGTATTCAAATGTGTACATGCCATTAGGTAATGTTGTACGCCTGATTCATAGATTGGATATACATCTGATCAATCTCATCTCCAGGGTCGTTAGTTTCGAACCACTTACAGAGATCATTCCAGCTGTCATTGATGTACTCTTGTATGAGTTGGGGAGGAACAGATTCAAAATAAGTTGTTTGGACACGAGGATCATTTTTGTCGTGAGCTATACAAGACCTTGACATAGCAGTCTCCTTGAACTATTTCTATGCCCACAATTCTCTTTACGCCTTTATCGATTCTCGTAGGTGCCTTGGTACCATTGGATATGGTTCGACGCCTAATTCTGGTTCCATAGTGGTCGATTGCTGTTTGAAATTCTTTGACAGCACATTGACTGATTGATTGTCTTGTGCTGACTCTCTTTGGTTAAAGAATTTGTGATTTTTCAGTGGGTCGCCATTCGCTTTCCTAATATATTTTTCTTGACATGAAATTTCTTCGAATTGAGTCCGGAATGGTGCTGCCATATTCCCATGTGTTTCCTCTTTCTGGATCTGTCCATTTCACCCTGTAGTATATTTTGTTGTTCGCCTCTTGGAAGCAAGAATTGAGTGAATGTCATCAGATTGAAAAACCTTGGCGCCATTGCTTGACGCTGGTTGTTGTGCTGGTTGTTGAACCTGACTTGATCCTGATTGTGGCCTTGACTTTGGCTGATGATGTTTGCTGTTCAGTCCTCTTTTTCCCTTGTTTGTATTTCCTTCTTCTTGGTGGGGTTACTTGGACCTGGGGGCTCTTGTTTCTTGTTTGGAACAGTTGTACTTGGTCCTGCTGAGCTTTCCTGAATTCCTTTCTTCTCTTGATTAGGATTCCTTGGATTTCCTGCCTTAGTTTTTGAATTGACTTCCTTACCTTTAGGTGATTGATCCTGGGTTGCTTGTTGACTCTGCATTATTGCTGTCAAGTTGTGGATAGCTCATTGGTTCCTCATTGTCATCTATGATGTCTGAATCCATATTGTTGCTGTTGGTGAGGTATGGTTCTGGAGGATACCGTGGACCCATCAGCTGGATCGTAAATATGGCTTCAAACGGTTGGCATGGACCAATGGTTTGTGCACTTCACGTCAGAACTTCTCGCGTAGTAGTTTGTAGGTGAAATTTGGACCTAAATGAACAATGTAATAACTGCCATACCACTTTTTGGTTAACTTGTTGCAGAGGCCTTTTTCTACTTTTGACAATATAGCCAAACTCTTTGACCTGGGGAGAAATCTGGCTCTTTAGCCTACGCATTGTATTGCTCAGAATACACCTCCTTTGCTCGAGCAGTGTTTTCAGCCGCAATAGTCCTTGTAATTTCTAGCTCCTCCTCAAGCAAATTTGAAAGATAGCTTTTGTTGTTGTGGCCTAAATTTTCCTTTGGAATTAATGAAACATCTTGTGGAGCTCATTTCTCGGTCGAATAGCATAACAAAAGGGGACTTTTGAGTTGATGAATTTGGAGCCATCCGATAGGCCATCATGATGCCTGGAAGAAACCGGGGCCAATCATTTTGAGTTTTGTTACAATAGGCTCTTAGTGATTGATTGATGTAGGAATTGAGCCTTTCTACACAGCTATTTGTTTGGGGATGGTATGGGCTGGTATGAGTGAATTTGATAGCCAAAAGTTCACAAATAGCCTTGATTAATTTTGACATGAAGTTCTGACCTCTGTCTGAAATTAAGGTCCTTGGAGCCATACCGACAAAATATTTCTCTCACGAGAACATCTGCTACCACCAGTGGCTTCTTGGGTTCTCAGGGGAAAGGCTTCACACCATCTAGATGCTGCATCGGTGATGACCAAAATGTGCTTGTAACTTGTCTGGTGTTGTTGGCAAGGGACCAAGGATGTCTACATGCCACCTGGTGAAGACCTCTTCCACAGGTAGTGGACGTAGGGGGGTGCCTTCTTTGCTGTGGTAATGCCTCTTGGTCTGTTGACACACTTCACATGTCTGGACATATGTTGTAATTTCGTGTACATCTTTGGCCAGTAGTATTTTGGTCTCATGGTGTTGTGCATCCTTTCCTTTCCATGGTGACAACCGCCAAACTCAGAATCGCGGTAGGATCTCAGGACCCGGTTCCTGAGAGTTCTTGGAACTGGCGAGCTGTTTAATGAATTTGTCTGCATGACCCTTCTGTCTCTGTGGAACAAATCTGTATAGGATTCTTCATCTATTTCAAAGTTGCCTGCTTCAATAAGGATCTTTGGCGGTCCTTTTCATTTTCTGAAGGACATCATTTTCTTTGTAGTCAAAAATTTTGTAAAATCTGGACAAATTCTTTGTAGATGACGAAGTTGGGATGTGCATTAATATTTACCTCAACCATTGTGGCTTGTGACATCATCACTTGTAGCATGTAATGCTGCAACAACGTTGCTGGTACTGTTTGGTAGTCCTCTTCATATTTCAAATGTGACAGACAAATGAGTTGTCTGTGATTCACTATCTAAGTGATTAATATTTTGGGATACAATCATCCTCAGTCTGGAGTTGATTGGGTGACCTGTGAGGATAATTATGGGCTTGCTGAATTGTTGGTATGGCCTCTTTGCTCAAGTGAAGTTACTGTAAAGACGGTTTTCAGCATCTTCTTCTGTTTGACTCTGACAGTTAATATTTTGCTCATATTCCCTGCGAGAGCGCATCGGCATTCCCGCTGGCTTTGCCGCCATGGCGAACAATATAAAAGTGTAGGTAGATAGTTCGAAAAGACCATCGCCTCTAACCTACCTGTGGCATCCTTGATGGATTTGAGCCATTTTAAGGCGATGTGGTCTGTGTAGACAGTGAATTTGGAATTTGCAAGGTATGGGCGAAATGATCTAATGGCTTCAACTAAAGCTAAACCTTCTTTTTCTGTGATGCTCCAATTCTTCGCACGTCGTGAAGAGCCTCTGCCTCCAAAAGCTATAGGATGTTCATTATTTTTCTCGCCCTTTTGACTTAAGACAAACCCTATGCTCATATCGCTGGCATCAGTTAAGCAGAAAAATTCTTTGTCAAAATCTGATAAGCCAGAACAGGTGTGTTACACATAGCACTTTGGAGTGTGTTGAAAGCCTGATCACACCCAAGTGACCACTGGAACTTTGGTTTCCCATCAGTTTCTGCCTCTGAATGCTTTTAACAATGCATTCAATGGCAGTGCTATTTTCAAGATAATCTTTCACATACTTTCTGTAAAAAGTTTGTGAGGCCTAAAATGAGCGTAACCTGTTTTGTGATTTAGGTATCGGAAGTTTTAATTGCTTCTCGACCTTTTGTCATCAACTTGAACACCTCCACATGATAAAACATGACCAAGAAATGAAACCTTGTCTGTTGCAAAATTGCATTTTGATGGCTTCAGTGTTAATTTTGCCTGTTTGAGATAGTAAAAGACTTGCTCCAAATGTTGGAGATGTTCTTCAAAGTTTTGCTGTAGATTATCAAATCATCAATGTAAATCAACGCAACTTTGAAAAGCTTATTTTAGCACTTTGCTCATGAGTTGTTGAAACAAAGTGGAGAATTAGACAAACCCTGGGGCAAACGCTTGAATTGATAAAGGCCTTGATGGGTGACAAAGCAGTTTTATGCTTTGAGTCTTCGTGGTAATGGCACTTGAAGAAAGCCATTGGCAAGATCTAGCGTGGAAAAATTGTAGCTTGGCTATTGCCGATGTGATCAACAACATCGCCAAAAAATCAGGAGTGGCCATGACATGGGTAATGTGACAGAATTTAATTTTCTGTAGTCACAAACAAATCTATATGAGTCAAATACACGCTTTTAACTAAGATGATGGGGGCTGAATACATTGAAGTGGACCTCTATTAAATCATATTTGAGAAAATCTTCAACAAGTTCTTCTGTGACTTTTTTTTGGAGATGAGGAGACTGGACGATAAGGCCTACACTTCAACAGGGGATGGTTGCCCGTGTCAATGGCATGCCTTCGCATGTCAGTTTTCCCTAAATCTGCAAGGCTTGTGGAAAACATGTCTCTGTTTTGTCCTAAAACCCGAGTAGTCTTTTGTTGTTGGCCTGACGTTAGTTGTGTGTCTTGGTCAAGTCAAATCCTAAGTCTTGAGCAATTTTGACGTAATCCCTAGTCATTGTTCTGTTGTCCTAATGTCAGTGTTAACTGAATTTATTAAAGGTTGGTCACAGTCAATTTCAAAGATAGAGTGGCTGTCAATGTAACTAAATTTTTCCTACAACTGTACCCTTATCTCAAACTTTTTCTTCTTGGGAAGGATTCATGCTTTCAAATGTAGCGCAGTTTTCTTATGCACTTTCGAGAGGGTCCTACCACCCGCTACTTCAGAATGAGCAGTGAGGGAGGCAATTGGTTCAATGAGGATGAAGGAATCATTGTTTGCCTCAGGCAGTCTTACCTTGAAATGAATTTCACTCTGAGGGGATATATCTGATCTATTGTTTTGCTAATCCACAAATTTCTTGATCTGGATTGGCAATGAAATTGATATACTGCCTATCTGAGGTGCTGTTGCCTATTATGAGGGAATGGCAGCTATAATCTAAGACTGCATCGTTGTCATTGAGGAAGTTCTCACCTAGTAGGACTGACTTAGGTAATGAGGGCAGGACATAGAATTTTTGTGAAAATTCTTGATCTTCAATGACAAAATCTAACACAACTGAACCCAACACCTTGTGCAATTCTCGGCCAACACCTTGAATTTGTGTATGTGACTGTGGTGGGGCTGGTATGTACCTGTAGTGGGGCTGGTATGTGACTGTAGTGGGGCTGGTATGTACCTGTAGTGGGGCTGGTATGTACCTGTAGTGGGGCTGGTATGCACCTGCAGTGGGGCTGGTATGTGACTGTAGTGGGGCTGGTTTTATGACTGTAGTGGGGCTGGTTTTAAGACTGTAATGGTATGTAACGGTAGTTGGAACCAGTGTTGGAACCAGGGGACATATCTGACCCCCTTTGAAACCAGTCATCTCTCGTTACAGAATCAGAGCCAAGCTTGAAGCAACAGTGCCATCCACAATTGGAGAAGAGATGCTTATAAATCCTTTCATGAGAGTCAGGTATGCCCTTACTGCACAAAGCTCACAAATCCCCACTGTCCTGAAGTCCCGCAGTATTTTACACATATAACCTCTGCTGTAATGAACAATAACCCTGCTGTACTCAACACAGAGCCCTGCTACAGTCAGCACAAATCCCGACTAAGCTAATCCACAAAGCCATGTTGCTATTATGATAAGGGTCTTGGGTCCAAGTGATGGTTCCGTGAAACACCTTATCTAACTGGCGTGCTGGTCTGCTTGGGGGAATTAACTCAGCAAAAGAGTCCTAAGTCACAAGAAGCCAATCACAATTTTATTTACAAGAACGAGAGTAACATGGGGTGGCCACAGAGAGTGGGGTACAACCACCTCTGGGCTGAGGGCTAGAGCTGACCTGTGTTGGGAGTCTAAAGCCCTACTCATGGACAAATGAAGATAGAGACATTTATCTACAATTAAAACAATAAAGAGATTATGATTGGTTGACTGATACAAAAAATGGGTGTAACCTACATTAGCCTATCAAATACAGAATATACTAAATGGGGTGGGTCCTTCAATGACCAGACAGGGCAATCAATCCTCTTAATCCTTGTTAATCCTAGTTTAACTGGCACTAATCTCGATGGCACTTTTTACTGGGTGCTTGGATGCTACACCCTGGGCTAGATCTCAATGAGCCTAATCTGATGTGTCAATTACAGGTGCTTGGATTACAATAGATGCATTTAATTGTCTGGTCCATAACTCTGAATTACTGAAAGGTTGCTAACAGCTTGAGTCCTCAATACCTTAGGCTAGGATTTTATCTTGGATATCTGTGAAATTGTGTAGCCGTAATTTATACCTTTTTCAATAGTATGTCTGAGAGATGAGTTTTACAACTTTTGACTGGAGTCTTTCTCTAAGCTATTACTAATATTCTATATTTATATTTTCCTAATATCTGAATCCTAATATATTGCTTGTAGTGGTAATAATGAATAATGAATTTTATATGAATTGTTATCCCATGATATTGCACTTAACAAAACTGCTGCTGCACTCCCCAAAAATCACCCCTGCACTCAACACAAAAACAAGCTGTATTTGTCATGAAAACCAGGTTTCAGGGTAAATCGACACTCTTTCATTGGACTATAGCAGATAACCAGAACTTTTAAAAGACAAATTATTTTTCTTCTCAAAATGATTTTGTGTAATGTTTTAATTGGCAGCAGTTCACAAACCAAAATACTTAGCAAAGTGTAAGAGACCGACTGTATTTCAGTGATTGCATTCTGCTGTAACTTACCAGATAGCTTGTGGCCCTTTGGCATCTTTTGGCTGATACCTGTTTCTTCAGGGCTGACATTACACAAATATATAATTTTGTTTTGCTTTCTCTTAAAAAAAATGCATAATGCCAAATATAAATTTCATTAACAACCTTAATGCTTTAATGCATCACTGTATGTATGTGGAAGTCTTAGATACATGCCTAACACATATATGTCAGAACTAAGACCTGATACCCACAACAATGTTTGGAATGGTCATTTCTCCTGTTTGTGTAGTGAGGCCAGTGTGCAGACCCACTGTAAGGAGACTGACTCTGTCAAGGTGATGGCCTTCCTCAGGAATGAGAAGAACCAGTTTCTGACCCCCAGTATAATGGCACCATGGACTGATCTCCACACACTGTGATGGACAATGCAACCCATTACAGCATCTATGCTCCACTGTTCCTCAAGATGCTAGAATTTCAATTCAGCTTCTAATATAACAATGAAACAAATATATTCAGCAAATACCTTGGAATCTTTTTACATTGGGTGTTAATTGTTATCCTAATGGCAGATGACAGGTGGAGAAAGAGCTCTGATTAATTACTGTAATCATGTGGATGGGAGTGGCAATGCAAATATTTACAATGTATGTATTCTAAATCATTTATGTTAAAAAATGTTACTATTTCAGCTTTACAAGGCCAAGTTCACACAAAAATAACCCTATTTACTTCATAACCCATGGGTTTACCGGTAACTCTGGCTTGTTTGCCTCACAAAACAAAGGCCTCATGATGGCCTGGCATTTCAACTTTCTGTTGAGCATTCTAAAATTGGAGAAAAATGAGCATATCTTTTCACTCATTACTTAATTCCCAAATTGCATCTTGTTTCATATCAGAAAATATTCATTTTTGAGCATACACTTCCCCTATAAATCATGTTTAGTTTCTGCTGTTAAATGTAGCCGCTGTCAACAGTTTAGTCTGTCTCACAGTCCTGAACCACATTATTTCCCCTTCTACCTGGCCCTTTCTGCAATGCTAAAATATTGCTGATGTGACGTTAAATTTTAACTCACTCACTCACTGCAATGCTGAAGCCCTAAATGAAGCATTTCTAGATTTCTTCTGAATCTCTGGTCTCCCTGGGGCTCCTTTTCAATTTAAATGTGTTTGTTACTATCAAAATGATATATATTCAGAGAATAAGTGCTAGTCCGTCAACAGCTGTGACGTGCATGTGTCGAGAGATGCAGACACCAGATAAATGCTTGATTCATGCACAGGTAATGAGGATGTGACTTTGTATACATATATATCATGGTTTTGATGATTTTATTTTACTCATAAAACACAAAGAGTCATATTAAAGACATAAAATAAACAATTGACTGTGCTTGTCTATCACTTCTCCCCTGGAGCCACAGAGGAGAGAGTCCACTACCAACAAAGTAATGGAAGACAGAGCTTCATTACTCAACAACAAACTTTCATCATGTTGATATGGAAACAAATCATTCTGTATCAATATAACATCATACAGATATATCAGTATGTATTCAGAAAAGAACATGACCAATGTTCTTTCAGCAATGTATTAGCAATGACTTCAAACATAGTATCATTGAAGGTAATTGAAACAAGGTCCTCGGTGCAACAAGCGAAAAGTTTCACCCACAAGGCTACGAAGAGCCACATTTTTAATGATAATGTACTTATTTGACAGAATCATTACATTTTGACAACATGTGTATTCAACAGATCCTCACAAACACTAGCCATTTCACAGCAAGCATTGCCAAGTGATATAGGGATCTCTTTCTCACCTGTAGAGACATTATACATGTGATTTGGTTGGGTATTTAAAGATGACCACCTACAAAAGATTTATGTGTGGTCATGGATGTCTGGAAGAACATCACATACAACATATACTGCCGCTCTAATATTTGCCAGTATTTACACAGGAAAAATATGTCACCGGGTCATTATGTAATATATTAATGAAGTTCAGGAAAACCATAAGAGCTCAAGTGCAAATATCAGCTCCAGATTGTTATTTACATCATCTTGACAGCAGTATTGACATTTTGATCTTACTGAGACATAAGTCAGAATGACTTCATGGTAGAAAATATGTCATACACCTGGGTAATTGAAGATTTTTTGGCGTCATTTGACAAATGTGATTTTCTAAGACTGTGATTATGATCAATGCATTTTCCTGAAGGTGATCTCAAGAATGTGTAAATAATGTGTAATAATGAAATTATCACACTCTTCTGAGTACTGATCTTACAAAATACTGTATGTAAGACCTGATACATTGCTCTCAAGCTCAGGATATACAAGACTTCAGATACTTGTTTCATAGAAGCTGTATGACACACACAATTTTCTAATACTCTCTATACATAAAATATGTAGATGTACAATAGAAGAAAGCACAAGGACCTCACTGCCAACTTATTTCTAATGACTGGATATTATACATCAATCTGCATGGGATGCATACCTGCCACTTCTCAGTACATAACTTGAGTTTCAAGATATTCAACCTATTATATATCAAGCTCTCCAATCAAGACTAAATAATTTCAAGTCAAATCCAAGTTTTAATGCGGAAACAAATTTGAACAAAAATGATTGTTTTCCACCTTGGATTGTACTGTAATGCTAATTAAGTGTTAAACATTAGAATGTATATTTAGCAGTGGTGAATATGAAACTCTAAAAGCCCATGAATACAGTCCTATATTACAACTGAATGAGTTGTGTCACTTTCCTTTTTGCATGTCTACAAACAGCTTTTCTAAGGCTTAGTGCACATCTCAAAACATCTTTATGGATTTCTGCATGTCTAGGAAGTTTTTTAGGCTTTCTGCTTGTCTAGAAACAGCTGTTTCCAAGGCCTGTGTTCCCTGCTTGAAAAGGATAGGGTTGTCAGTATTGTGTTGGCATACTGGAACATGTGCCTGATGTCTGGCTTGACCTCATGGTGTTGATGGCTTGAGATAATCCTGACAGTCTAAAGAAGTCTGCCTCAACCAGTATCTCTTGGAGTAATGCAGTCTGATTCCTGAGACTGTCTTAATGACCTTGTACCATCAATGCAAATAGTTCAAGATATGACTCTAAAATTGGTCCCATCTCGGTCAATAAAGTAGGAGCCCTCACCATCTTTCTGGACATGATGTCGCCCACTGAACATCAGTGCTAATAATGAATCTGGTTCTTTGGTTAAGCGTAACTGTTGATGTTGTATACTTCGATCCTCCAACATTCAACTCCACTTTGGTGTCTGTGAATCTATTCTGTTCTTCAATTCTTTTCAACTCTTCTTCCAGCTTCTTCCTCTGCATCAAATAATCCGTCAAGCCTCGCTTGAACTTGTCTACTTTCACATTAAGGTCATGTTCCCGCTCATCCAAGTCTTTTTCACGTTCTCTAAACCTCTTCTCTTGCACACCAAGCTCAGCCTTTGCTTTCCTACATCTTGCTCCAGTTGCTCTGCAGCTGCACTCTTTTGTCCTTGATGAGTTTCTCAACATCTTGGAACACATCATCTCGCTTTTGTCTTTACCAGAAACTGTACCTCCTCCTTCTCAAATGTATTCAAGGTTTCATCCAGTACCCGTGAACAGTTATGTTGTTGATGAGCTACCACAAGATTAGGACTGATGCCAGACAGACATGAGATCCTATGATGCAGAGGGTAAGGCTGTTTCCCCCTGTCTCCTCCAGAGACATAACATGACACTGATCCCGAAGTCTTTGCAGAACCTCAGACAGGTGTCCTTTGGCAGAGGAGAAAGAGTCCAAAGATGCTTGACTTGCAGTAGGGAGGAGGAAGTCCATGTCTCTTTATTAGTTTGTCAAGCAAACCTGGTACCTTCAAAGTCAGGAATGCACCAAAACTTCCAGCTGTAATTATTTCTTGTGAATCCAAAGTCCCAAAAACACTTCATTTTCATCTATCTTGACAGAGACCCATATCCGATGACCATGTTCCATTGAAACCCCAATAGATCTGCACAGCAGCAGTTCCAGAAAAATTGACATCCTCCCAGAAGAAGACCTGTATGAAATGCTGTTTGTTCACGCAGTCAATGTGGTCCAGGAGACAGACTGTCATATGAATGAAGTCAAGGTGTTTGTCTGCCAGAATGTATGAGTCTCCCTGCCCAGGAATGCGTGTACTTGGAGGAACATGGTCGTCTGTGCAGGTTGTAATCCTCCCTAGGCCATACCATGACACCAGCACCTTCCAGACAGATTCTCCCACAAAAATATTTTCTGTGTCATTGAATGAGCTTGTCATGGAAGGACATTTCCCTGTTTTCTGATGGTCATTCAGCAGGTCTTTGAGCTTACTTATCCATATATCAGCCACAGCATACTCCCATTCATCAGTCACACATGGAGGACCCTTCAGCAGTTTGCCCAGAACACGCACTTGGGTTGTACGGGAAACTGGAGCTCTTGGTAACGACATTCTTACCTGAGAAAGAAAAACAGATACACTGTGACAGGCCACTGAGCACAACATGAATCTTAAAAACAGACATTCTGCTGAAGCACTGGCAATTGGCATATACCTTCACAACTAAAAGAACTCAAAATCAGGAGTTATGAGCTCATGAATAGAAAACGTATATCAGGCTCTCTGGAGTCCCTCACACATCAGTAGATGTTTGTTGCATATGATGCCCGCCTAATGTACTACCACATACCTGATTATATACAAAGCTCAAGATAACTTGTTTAGCCATTACCTGAGTTATAATAAACACTCTTTTGGTATTGATAATTTTTTCTGTGGGTATTCAATATATTTCCCTCTTCTATGGTCCCATCTGCTGGATATTCACTTCAATGTATGTACTGTCCCAAGTGAATAAACTCATAACAGCACAACACATGACCTCAGGGAGCATCCATTTGATTTGCACAATAAACACAAAATGCTTGATGTTTTGGGAATTTTCCACAAAATATTTTGGTACAAGTATGAACATTTCTTTTGACACATTGGTCTCTATGTAGGATAAAACTACAACATAATCACGGTATGTATTTATTAAACATATTGTAGTTATTGTTATAACCATTGACCACAAACTGTTTATTTGGGCATATTTCTGACCATGTAGAAAAACATTTACAGTAAAAATACAGTTGGGTGGTCGGTTGCCACTTGTTGGAAGATTTTACGGGCACATCAGTGTATTTGAATAACAATGATTTGGGTCACAATGATTACCATGATTTGTGTAGCCAAGAATGCTGCGTTGATGTTATTTTCTGGTTGCTCATTATCACGCTGTAATCGCGCCATACGATGCAAGTAGTGATGAGTCACAATGATAACGCGCCTGACTTACGACATGTTATTGTAACTGATCCAATGAATCCTGTTATGTACAGCAGTCGAAGCCACTGACTGAAGATAACATACCAACAGGAAAACACGTTCTACTTTTACCTCTTTGATCGAATAATGATTGGTCAACACTGGGACTGTTAACTTGCCATGTTGACAGTGCGCAATAACAAATCAATCCACAAACCAAATGGGACGTTTTGCGAACCTCCCCTCTGGATTCATAACGCAGTTACTTCCCTTCGTTAACCAAAGGAGACAAGTCCATTTAACCATGTCATTTTGATAGTGGTTATTGCGTCATGAAAGTACCGCGTGTCTTTACCATTCTTACCGGGGTTATACCCCCGCAACGGGGTATATAGCGTTCATTCTGTCCGTCTGGCCGTCCGGCCGTCCTCCCGGAAACACAGTGCCAAATGTGTTTGATGGTTTTGTCCGGAGCATATCTCTTAAAGTTTACATGCTAGGTTCACCAAACTTCACACACATGTTAATCATTACCCATTGATGTGCCTTTTGCTGTTGTTTTCCGTTTCTTCAGAATTTTTTTTTTGCTGTTTCCATGGAAACACGACCTAGTGCCAAATGTGTTTGATGGTTTTGTCCGGAGCATATCTCTTTAAAGTTTACATGCTAGGTTCACTCAAACTTCACACACATGTTAATCATTACCCATTGATGTGCCTTTTGCTATTTTAAAGTTTCTTCAGAATTTGTTTTGTTGTTGTTTCAATGGAAACAGTGAAAAATGTGTTTGATGGTTACCTGGCCACAGCATATCATCGAAACTATACGTACTAGGGTTCACCAAACTTAATACCACAAGTTAATCCTGACCCACAGATATGCCATGTGCTAAAAAAAATAACAATCTTCATCTACGTCCACTTCATTGTGTGCAACATGAGACAGTCAAGTTCAATTGTATGTCAGGTTTACACGGGAAAAATATATTTCCATAAATTATTACTGTAATCAGTACATGGCAAAACCATTATCTAACATGTGTATAAAGTTTAGTAGAGTCAAGGAGAAAGTCTTGTGAGCTGCTGATCCTTGTCACATTATATATATCAATATCAGTCATTTCCATGTCCCAAAGTGGAAGTGGGGGTATGTGAGCTGTGCTCACTTCTACACTTGTTTAGTGTATGAGGTGTATAAGGTTACAGGTGTGTGCATTTCAAAGGGAAAAACATAGAATAAATCAGGCAAACGATGTTGATTATTTTCATACAGTTATATAAACTACCGGGCAAAAAGAAAGTTTATCACTTTTAAAGTAATTGTATAAAACAAAAATGCTGGTACACTACCGTACAGGTTTGAACCCAAGCAGAATACATTGGCCAAACCGCAACATGGTCCCGATAACAACGCAAATGTCCGTTGATGTCAAAACGTGAAAAACGAAATTTTGGTTACCTCCATTTTTGTATAAATCGCGTTTGGATCTGTAGAAACTAAACTAAATTCCAACTAAATACCAATCGATGACCCTTTCGGGGTAGTTTTTGCAAGCATTAGACCTCTTTGGAATGTAGGGAAGTGTCGCCAATAGTTAAAAAAATACTTTCTAAATTACAAGCGTTCTGTACCGTCTATGGCTCGTGATTCAAGGATGTCAAAACCAGCTTGGTTACCTCCATTTTGCATAAATCGCGTTTGGACCTGTAGACTACAATGTTTTCTGACTAAATACCAATTTATGACCCTTTGGGGTAGTTTTTGCAAGAATTAGACAGCTCGAAATGTAGGGGTGTCGCCAATAAGTGGAACATACTTTCTACATTACAAGCGTTCGGTAACGTCTTGGCGGGATTCGAGGGTGTCAAGACCAGCTTTGAGTACCTCCATTGTCGTACAAATCGGGCCTGTATCTGTAGACTACAATGATTTCTACCTAAATACCTATTTATGACCCTTTCGGTTAGTTTTCGGAAGAATTAGACAGCTCGGAATGTAGGGGTGTCCCCTATAATAATTATTGGAACATACTTTCTACATTATAAGCGTTCGGTACGTCTTGGCCCGGGAGTCGAGGAGAGAAAAACCAGCTTGAATACCTCCACTTTTGTAAAGATCTGGTTTGTATCTGTAGACTACAATGTTTTCTAACTAAATACCAATTTATGACCCTTTCGGGTAGTATTTGCCAGAATTAGACATCTCGGAATGTAGGGGTGTCGCCAATAATTGAAAAATACTCTACATTACAAGCGCTCTGTACGTCTATGGCTCGTGATTCAAGGATGTCAAAACCAGCTTGGTTACCTCCATTTTTGTATAAATCGCGTTTGGATCTGTAGACTACAATGTTTTCTAACTAAATACCAATTTATGACCCTTTCGGGTAGTTTTTGCAAGAATTAGACAGCTCGGAATGTAGGGGTGTCGCTAATAATTGGAAAATACTTTCTACATTACAAGCGTTCGGTAGGTCTTGGCCCGGGAGTCGAGGAGAGAAAGACCAGCTTGAATACCTCCACTTTTGTACAAATCGGGTTTGTATCTGTAGACTACAATGTTTTCTAACTAAATACCAATTTATGACCCTTTCAGGTTGTATTTGCAAGAATTAGACAGCTCGGAATGTAGGGGGTGTCGTTAATAATTGGAAAATACTTTCTACATTATATGCGTTCGGTACGTCTTGGCCGGGAGTCGAGGGAGAAAGACCAGCTTGAATACCTCCACTTTTGTACAAATCGGATTTGTATCTGTAGACTACAACGTTTTCTACCTAAATACCAATTTATGACCCTTTCGGGTAGTTTTGCAAGAATTAGACAGCTGGGAATGTAGGGTGTCGCCAATAATTGGAACATACTTTCTACATTACAAGCGTTCGGTAGGTCTTGGCCCGGGGAGTCGAGGAGAGAAAGACCAGCTTGAATACTCCACTTTTGTACAAATCGGGTTTGTATCTGTAGACTAAAATGTTTTCCAACTAAATAACAATTTATGACCCTTTCAGGTTGTATTTGGAAGAATTAGACAGCTCGGAATGTAGGGGTTTGTAAAAGTCGGGTTTGTATCTGTAGACTCAAAAATGTTTTCCAACTAAATAACAATTTATGACCCTTTCAGGTTGCATTTGGAAGAATTAGACAGCTCGGAATGTAAGGGTGTCGCCAATAATTGGAACATACTTTCTACATTACAAGCGTTCGGTAGGTCTTGGCCCGGGATTCGAAGAGAGAGAAACCAGCTTGAATACCTCCACTTTTGTACAATTCGGGTTTGTATCTGTAGACTACAATGTTTTCTAACCAAATATGGGGAAACCGCCTAAAAGTAAAGACCACTTAACTAAAACGGGCCTGATAAGTCAACACTTTTCTTTGGTCCCGGCAAATTTCTTCATTAATTATCACACCATTAGAGTCTGGTTAACTGAACTCGGATAAGTAAACAATACTGCTTAACTAAACGTCTCTCACGGTCCCTGGAAGTAAATTACTTAACAAAAGAGACTGGATAACTTTAATTACTGAACACCACATAATCCGACATGAGGGGCAATCGTGTCAGTCTCCAGTCAAACAGACATCCAACAGACATCCAACTCGATGCTGAACAGTAGAACAAGCATGCAGTAAACCAAAAAGAAGAAAAACTCCACGAATATGCGCAAGACTTACGAACGCGCAACGAGGGCGATCGGTATGGCCAATGTTGGGGCTCTGGACGTCAGCTGGCGTTAAGAACCTTCAACTGACAGCAGAAGAACACGTTATCAGCAGACGGTCAGTCCTACGACTTGGCATGGCTGGGTATGCGAGCCTACCGCCACCTCCTTGACCCATCTACACCGTCAACGCAGATTGCAATGGGCACGAACTTTAAGTCGGTGGTAACAACGTGTCTGGGAGGGGAGTGCTCTGTGCAGATGAAGTCTCTTCAGTCTGTCCAGAAAGACTGGTTATTATCCGAGGAAATGTGAATGCACTGATCACACCGCCAGAATCGTTCGAGAATACCTGCACAACGTTCACCGCCAACGTTTTGCCTACTAGGCCAGCACGTTCTCCAGACATGAACCTGATCATGATCATCTTGATCGTCAGCTGAGACAGCGTGTACCACCTCCTGCCAAACCGACAGGATCTTGAAACAGAATTCCTGCTGACGTCATCCGCCGACTGACGACGTCAATGAGGAGACGTGTTGGCGTGTATTGATGCCCTGGGTGGTCACACTCGCTACTGCTGACGTGTCACCTGACTCCTGTCCATTGTGTGACTCTTTATGCACTTTTGAATGAACTCTGATTTGTTTAAATTTTGACTCCATGACTCTTTCTTAATGAATTGCGGCAAATACAAGTACAGTATTACAATGAATTTTCAGTCAAATTATAGTAAAATGATTAAATTTCTGTTAGTGTTTCTAGTTTTGTTCAAGTGAAGTCTCTTTAACGTTAGTTATTGAAACATGTTTGTCGGGAAGCATTTTCTTAATTTCATTTTATTTGTTATTTACAAATGCCCCAAGTCCTATTTTGGGAACGAATGACAGCCTGATGTGACGGTTATGACAGCCTGATATGTGACAGTTGTGACAGCCAGATGCTTGACAGTTGTGACAGCCTGATATGTGACAGTTGTGACAGCCCGATATGTGACAGTTGTGACAGCCTGATATGTGACAGTTGTGACAGCCAGATTGTGACAGTTGTGACAGCCTGATATGGCAGCTTGTTGTGACAGCCTGATGTGACTGATGTGACAGCCTGATGTGACTGATGTGACAGCTTGTTGTGAAAGCCTGATGTGACTTATGCTTGACAGCTTGTTTGTGACAGCCTGATGTGACTGATGTGACAGCCTGATATGACAGCTTGTTGTTGACAGCCTGATGTGACAGTTATGACAGACTGATGTGACAGCTTGTTGTGAAAGCCTGATGTGACAGTTGTGACAGCCTGATGTGACAGGTTGTGACAGCTCGATGTGACAGCCCGATTGTGACAGCCTGATTTGACAGCTTGTTGTGACAGCCCGATGTGACTGATGTGTCAGCTTGATGTGACAGCCCTGATGTGACAGCTTGTTATGAAAACTTGATGTGACAGCTTGTTGTGACAGCTTGATGTGACAGCCTGTTGTGACAGCTTGATGTGGCTGATGTGACAGCTTAATGTGACTGATATGGTAGCTGGTTGTGACAACTTGATGTGACAGCTTGTTGTGACAGCTTGTTGTGACAGCTCGATGGCAGCCTTGATGACAGCTCGTTGTCACAGCTTGTTGTCCAGTTTGATGTAGCTGATGTGACAGCTTGTTGTGACAGCTTGATGTGACAGCCTGAAGTGACAGCTTGTAGTGACAGCTTGTTGTGAAACCTTGATTTGGCTGATGTGACAGCTTGTTGTGACAGCTTGATGGCTGATATGACAGCATGTGACAGCTTGATGCACAGCCTGTTGTGACAGCATGTGGCTGATTGTTGTGACAGCTTGTTGTGACAGCTTGTGGCTGATGTGACACCTAAATGTGGCTCGATATGACAGCTTGTTTGACATCTTTGATGCACAGATTGTTGTGACAGCGTGTTGTGACAGCTTTAATGTGGCTGATATGACAGCTCATTGGGAGCTTGATGTGACAGTTTGTTGTTGTGACAGCTTGTGGCTGATGTGACACTCTAAATGTATTGATATGGATAGCTTGTTGCTGACAGTCTGATGTGACAGCCTGATTTGACAGCTTGTTGTGACAGCCTTATGTGACTGGTGTGTCAGCTCTGATGTGACAGCCTGATGTGACAGCTTTGTTATGAAAGCTTGATGTGACAGCTTGTTGTGACAGCTTGATGTGGCCTGTGACAGCTTACATCGTGACTGATATGGTAGCTGGTTGCGACAGCTTGATGTGGCAGCTTGATGTGACAGCTCGTTGTCACAGCTTGTTGTCACAGTTTGATGTGGCTGATGTGACAGCTTGATGTGACAGCCTGAAGTGACAGCTTGTAGTGACAGCTTTGTTGTGAAACCTTGATTTGTATTGATGTGACAGCGCGTTGTGACAGCTTAATGTGGCTGATATGACAGCTTGTTATGAAAGCTTGTTGTGACAGATTGATGTGACAGCTTAATGCGGCTGATATGACAGCGTGTTGTGACAGCCTGATGTGACAGCCTGATGTGACAGCTCTGTTGTGACAGCTTGCCGTGACAGCCCGATGTGGACAGCCCTGATTTGACGGCCTTGTTGTGACAGCCTTATGTGACTGGTGTCAGCTTGATGTGACAGCCCGATGTGACAGCTTGTTGTGACAGCTTGTGGCTGATGACACCTAAATGTGGAAACGATATGACAGCTTGTTGTGACAGCCTGATGTGACAGCCTCCGATTTGACAGCTTGTTGTGACAGCTTGTTGTGACAGCCTGATGTGACAGTTTTCCTGATTTGACGGCTTGTTGTGACAGCCTTTATGTGACTGGTGTGTCAGCTTCTGATGTGACAGCCTGATGTGACAGCTTGTTATGAAAGCTTGATGTGACAGCTTGTTGTGACAGCTTGTGGCTGATGTGACACCTAAATGTGGCTGATATGACAGCTTGTTGTGACATTTTGATGTGACAGATTGTTGTGACAGCGTGTTGACAGACAGCTTAATGTGGCTGATATGACACCTTGTGGAGCTTGATGCAGACAGTGTTTGTTGTGACAGCCCGTATTGATGTGACACCTAAATGTGGCTGATATGACAGCTTGTTGTGACAGCCTGATGACAGCCTGATGTGACAGCCTGATTTGACAGCTTGTTGTGACAGCTTGTTGTGACAGCTTGTGGCTGATGTGACACCTAAATGTAGCTGATATGACAGCTTTGCTGTGACAGCCTGATGTGACAGCCTGATGTGACAGCCTGATTTGACAGCTTGTTGTGACAGCTTGTTGTGACAGCCCGATTCGACAGTTGACAGCCTGATTTGACGGCTTGCTTGCATGACAGCCTTATGTGACTGGTGTGTCAGCTTGATGTGACAGCCTGATGACAGCTTGTTATGAAAGCTTGATGTGACAGCTTGTTGTGACAGCTTGTTGTGACAGCTTGATGCGGCCTGCGTGCATAATGTGACTGCTAAGCGGTAGCTGGTTGTTACAACTTGATGTGACAGCTTGTTGTGACAACTTGATGTGACAGCTCTCGCTGTCACAGTATTGTTGTCACAGCTCTGATGTGGCTGATGTGACAGCTTGTAGTGACAGCTTGTAGTGACAGCTTGATGACAGCCTGAAGTGACAGCTTGTAGTGACAGCTTGTTGTGAAACCTTGATTCCATTGATGTGACAGCTTGTTGTGACAGCTTGATGTGGCTGATATGACAGCATGTGACAGCTTGATGTGACAGATTGTTGTGACAGCTTGTAGTGACAGCTTGTTGTGAAACCTTGATTTGGCTGATGTGACAGCTTGTTGTGACAGCTTGATGTGGGCTGGATATGACAACATGTGGCTGATGTGACAGCATGTGGCTGATGTGACACCTAAATGTGGCAGCTTGATATGACATGATTGATGTGACAGCTTGATATGACAGCTTGTTGTGACAGCTTGATGTGACAGATTGTTGTGACAGCGTGTTGTGACAGCTTAATGTGGCTGGATGTGACAAGCTTGTTATGAAAGCTTGTTGTGACAGATTGATGTGACAGCTTAATGTGGCTGATATGACAGCTTGTTGTGACTGATGTGAAAGCTTGATGTGACAGCTTGTGGCTGATGTGACAGCCTGTTGTGAGCTTAATGTGGCTGATGTGACAGCTTGTTGTGACTGCTTGTTGTGACAGCTTAATGTGGCTGATGTGATATCTTGTTGTGACATCTTGTGACAGCTTAATGTGGCTTATGTGACAGCTTGTTATGATGGCTTGTTGTGACAGATTGATGTGACAGCTTAATGTGGCCGATGTGACAGCTTGTTGTGACAGCTTGATGTGACAGCTTAATGTGGCTCTTTGTGACAGCTTGTTATGTCGGCTTGTTGTAACAGATTATTGCTGACAGCTTGATGTGACAGCTTGTTGTGACAACTTAATGTGGCTGATATGACATCTTGATGTGACAACATCACAGCTTAATGTGGCGTATGTGACAAGCTTGTTGTGACAGCTTGATGTGACAGCTTGTTGTGACAACCCGATGTGACAGCTTGTTGTTACAGCTTAATGTAGCTGATATGACATCTTGATGTGACAGCTTGTCACAGCTTAATGTAGCGTATGTGACAGCTTGTTGTGACAACTTTTGATGCGACAGCTTGATGCTTGAGCAGTTTGAATTTGGCTGATATGACGGCTTGTTGTGACAGCCTTGTGACAACTTGATGTGACAACAGTATGTGACAGCTTAATGTCGCTGATGTGACAGCTTGTTGTGACAGCTTGATATGACGGCTTATTTTGACAGCTTCTTGTGAGACAGCTTGATGTGGCTGATGTGACAGCCCTGATGTGACAGTTGTGACAGGCCTGATGTGACAGATGGTGACAGCCTGATGCTTGACAGCTGTCTATTCTAAACTTCTAAAATCTGACCCAACGATTAAGCAATCGTCACATGTTTTATTCATGTATGTTTCAACTACAATTTGGCTACAAGCCGTTTGTCCTGCTGGGACAGGCCTCCCCTCAACGCTTCCCGGTGATTGGATCTGAAACACCAGATGTATTTACATGGCGAACTTCCGGCGCATACTAATCATCCACTTCTGGTGAGTGAATGAGTGAGTTAAGTTTTTACGACGCTGCTTTAGCAATATTCCAGCAATTTTACCTCGAGGGACACCAGATATGGACTTTGGCACATTGTACCCCTTTGTGAAATCGAGGCCAGGTCTTCCGCGTGACGAGGGGAACGCTTTAACCACTAGGCTACCCCACCCTTTCCATTGCTGGAATTTATGTTTCATTATGACATTAAGATTACATCCTACACATAATGTCTCTATACAACAATCTGATGGCATCGTTACTGGCATATCTGACTGCAGCACAGTGCTTGGTGGCAGCATAGAAGGTATCCCTGGTTACCTGTGTTGGAGAGCAAGTGCACTCGACATCCCAGTCGGTGGGGAACCCTGTCTTTGGTGAGAGACACGAACGTTGCCAGCGGGCACTGGGAGCTACAACCTGCACAATGACATATACTTAAACACTGATCATTCTGGTGAGGCTACTGGATGTCAAACTAGCATCTTGTGTTGCCGGTGGATGTCACGCTGACACACTTGGTGGGACTACTGCATGTTACATTGACACACACTAGGTGGGACTCCTGCATGTCACGCTGACACACTTGGTGGGACTACTGCATGTCACACTGACACACTTGGTGGGACTACTGCATGTCACACTGACACACTTGGTGGGACTACTGCATGTCACACTGACACACTTGGTGGGACTACAGCATGTCACACTGACACACTTGGTGGGACTACTGCATGTCACACTGACACACTTGGTGGGACTACTGCATGTCACACTGACACACTTGGTGGGACTACTGCATGTCACACTGACACACTTGGTGGGACTACAGCATGTCACACTGATACAATTGGTGGAACTACAGCATGTCACACTGACACATCTTGGTGGGACAACAGCATGTCACACTGGAACTCACCTGGAGGGACCACAGCATGTCACGCTGACCAACTTGGTGGGACTACTGCATGTCACTGACACACTTGGTGGCACTACTGCATGTCACATTGACACACTTGGTGGGACTACAGCATGTCACACTGACACACTGTGTGCGACAACAGCATGTCACACGGACTCACCTGGTGGGACTACTGCATGTCACGCTGATACACTTAGTGAGACAACAGCATGTCACACTGATACACCTGTTCGGACTACAGGATGTCACACTGACCCACTTGGTGGAACTACTGCATGTCACACTGACACATCTGGTGGGACTACAGCATGTCAACGGACCCACGGACCCACTCTGGTGGGACTACTGCATGTCACACTGACCCACTCACACTGGAGGGACTACAGCATGTCACACTGACCCACTTGGTGGGACTACTGCATGTCACATTGATACACTTGGTGGGACTACAACATGTCACACTGACCCACGTGGAGGGACTACTGCATGTCACACTGACCCACTTGGAGAGGGACTACAGCATGTCACACTGACTCACTTGGTGGGACTACATGCCACACACTGACACACTTGGTGGGACTACAACATGTCACACTGACCCACGTGGAGGGACTACTGCATGTCACACTGACCCACCCGGAGGGACTACAGCATGTCACACGGACTCCACTTGGAGGTGGGACTACAGCATGTCACACTGACACACTTGGTGGGACTACAACATGTCACACTGACCCACGTGGAGGGACTACTGCATGTCACACTGACACACTTGGTGGGACTACAGCATGTCACACTGATACACTTGGTGGGACTACAACATGTCACACTGACACTTGAAATTTGGGACAACAGCATGTCAGGACGGAATCACTGACGGGCTACTGCATGTTGACACTGATACACTTGGTGGGACAACATGTCCGCGGCATGTCACACAGTGACCCACTGAGGTAAGGATTAGTGCTGCGTCACACTGACCCACTTGGTGGACAACACTGACACACTTGGTGGGACTACAGCATGTCACACTGACACATGGTGGGACTACAGCATGTCACACTGACAGCATGGGACACAGCATGTCACATTGACACACTTGGTGGGACTACAGCATGTCACACTGACACTTGGTGGGACTACAGCATGTCACACTGACACACTTGGTGGGACTACAGCATGTCACACTGACACACTTGGTGGGACTACAGCATGTCACATTGACACACTTGGTGGGACTACAGCATGTCACGCCACACTGACTGATACACACTTGTTTACTTTATTGGGACTACACAGCATGTCACCCACAGGATGACACTTGGCAGGGACTACAGCATGTCACATTGACACACTTGGTGGGACAACAGCGTCACACTCACACACTGATGCAGGACTACTGCACTGAGACACACCATGTCACACGGTGGTGGGACTCACAGCATGTCACACTGACACACTTGGTGGGACTACAGCATGTCATACTGACGGACACACTTGGTGGGACTACACAGCATGTCACACTGACCAACAGCGGTGGGACTACAGCATGTCACACGGACCCACTTGGTGGGACTCACTGCATGGCACACCGACACAACTTGATGGGACTACAGCATGTCACACGGACGGTGACACTTGGTGGGACAACATAAGCATGTCATACTGACAAACCCGGTGGGACTACAGCATGTCACACTGACCCACTTGGTGGGACTACAGCATGTCACACTGACCCACTTGGTGGGACTACAGCATGTCACAATGACACACTTGGTGGGACTACAGCATGGCACACTGACACACTTGGTGGGACAACAGTATGTCACACGGACTCACCTGGAGGGACTACTGCATGTGACACTGATACACTTGGTGGGACAACAGCATGTCACACTGACCCACTTGGTGGGACTAGTGCACGTCACACTGACACACTTGGTGGGACTACAGCATGTCACAATGATGCACTTGGTGGGACTACAGCATGTCACACTGACACACTTGGTGGGACTACAGCATGTCACATTGACACACTTGGTGGGACTACAGCATGTCACACTGACACACTTGGTGGGACTACAGCATGTCACACTGACACACTTGGTGGGACTACAGCATGTCACACTGACACACTTGGTGGGACTACTGCATGTCACACTGACACACTTGGTGGGACTACAGCATGTCACACTGACACACTTGGTGGGACTACTGCATGTCACATTGACACACTTGGTGGGACTACAGCATGTCACACTGACACATTTGGTGGGACTACTTAGTGGGACTACTGCATGTCACATTGACACACTTGGTGGGACTACAGCATACTGACACACTTGGTGGGACTACTGACACACTGCATTGACGACTACACTTGGTGGGACTACAGCATGTCACACTGACACACTTGGTGGGACTACAGCATGTCACACTGACACACTTGGTGGGACTACAGCATGTCACACTGACACACTTGGTGGGACTACAGCATGTCACACTGACCCACTTGGTGGGACTACAGCATGTCACACTGACACACTTGGTGGGACAACAGCATGTCACACTGACACACTTGGTGGGACTACTGCATGTCACACGGACCCACTTTGTGGGACAACAGCATGTCACACTGACACACTTGGTGGGACTACAGCATGTCACACTGACCAACATGGTGGGACTAGTGCATGTCACACGGACCAACTTGGTGGGACTACAGCATGGCACACTGACAAACTTGATGGGACTACAGCATGTCACACTGACACACTTGGTGGGACAACAGCATGTCACTGACACTTGGTGGGACTACAGCATGTCACACTGACCCACTTGGTGGGACTAGTGCATGTCACACGGACCCACTTTGTGGGACTACAGCATGTCACACTGACGCACTTGGTGGGACTACTGCATGTCACACTGACACACTTGGTGGGACAACAGTATGTCACACGGATACACTTGGTGGGACTACTGCATGTCACATTGACACACTTGGTGGGACTACAGCATATCACACTGACACTTGGTGGGACTACTGCATGTCACACGGACCCACTTGGTGGGACTACAGCATGTCACACTGATACACTTGGTGGGACTACAGCATGTCACACTGACCCACTTGGTGGGACTACAGCATGTCACACTGACACACTTGGTGGGACTACAGCATGTCACACTGACACACTTGGTGGGACTACAGCATGTCACACTGACCCACTTGGTGGGACTACAGCATGTCACACTGACCCACTTGGTGGGACTACTGCATGTCACATTGACACACTTGGTGGGACTACAGCATGTCATACTGACACACTTGGTGGGACTACAGCATGTCACACTGACACACTTTGGTGGGACTACAGCATGTCACATTCACACTGACTGACACAGACACATCATACTTGGTGGGACTACTGCATGTCACACTGACCCACTTGGTGGGACTACAGCATATCATACTGACACACTTGGTGGGACTACAGGATGTCACACTGACCCACTTGGTGGGACTACGGCATGTCACACTGACACACTTGGTGGGACTACTGCATGTCACACTGACACACTTGGTGGGACTACTGCATGTCACACTGACACACTTGGTGGGACTACAGCATGTCACACTGACACACTTGGTGGGACTACAGCATGTCACACTGACCCACTTGGTGGGACTACAGCATGTCACACTGACACACTTGGTGGGGCTACAGCATGTCACACTGACCCACTTGGTGGGACTACAGGATGTCACACTGACACACTTGGTGGGACTACAGCATGTCACACTGACACACTTGGTGGGACTACAGCATGTCATACTGATACACTTGGCGGGACTACAGGATGTCACACGGACTCACTTGGTGGGACTAGTGGATGTCATACTGACAACCGGCGAGCCTTATGGAAGTTAAGGACCAGTGATCGCCTATTCCATTGCCTATCGACAATTGCCATGGGAACTCAGCAGACGAGTGATCGTATATTTCATTGTCTATCGTCAAATGTCATGAAAACTTAGCAGGTGAGTGATCGTATATTCCATTGTCTATCGCCAATTACCATGTGTAGGCAGTTGTGCACCACACAAAAAATAGAATTACAAGCGAATCAATATATTAGTGACGGTGGATGCAGTAACAACCACAGCTTTGTGACACATGTATACCTGGAAAAACGTTTGGGCTTTAATTGGTATACTGGGTAGGTAAGCCGTGTTACCTGGTATGGTGAGTTGATGAGGCTGTGTGTTATCGTTAGGGTCTGTGGAGGACACATTCCTGTAGTACAGCTCCACGTGGAAGGCGCCTGGCGCGTTCTCGTGCAGCTCCATCATGGTGGCGGAAGAGTAGGGCGGATTGCGGTGGTTGTGGACTCTGAGAGCTAAGAGTAGCGCCACTGTGGTGGAGTCGTGCTGCAGCAACAGATACAACCATACAACCCCCTCACTGCGATGGTCAATGTCCTGTAGCTACAGCTACCCACGATAACAGCAGGCATTTCAATGGGTTTACAACCTTGTACTATCAAGGTGACCATGTCAAACTATCCCCATATTATTTACGTATACACATACCACCCCCACTGTCAGTTGCTGCTGTGTGTGTTGGTTGTTACTGAGGTAAGAGCACCAGTGTGGCCAACTGGATAAAGTTGTGTAGAGTTGCACCCATCAGTTAAGCCTCCGCTCATGGAACCTGGTCACAAATGTGTCTTAGTTATGGTGTTTGAGTACCATGGGTTTGTATGCTCCTGGGTTTGTACGCACCATGGGTTTGCATGATCCTTAATTTCAGTAAACATCCAACTCTGTTTGGTCTTTTTTCATCAATAATTGGACATATCTGGATATAACTGAACTACTCAAAGCTTTGAATCAGTCTAACATCCAATTCACTCACTCAAATTGAAGCAGGATCTTGTAATAGAAGAAAACTTGTTAACCGATGTTATAATTTACTAACCGCTGAGAACATGTTCATCTTGGTTGTGTAGCTCTTGGATGTAACTTTCTGTTGAGCCAGTTCAATCCATTTCTTCAAGAGAGGTCCTTCAATTCATATAATGATACCATCAATGAGAAAAAACAACAATATCAATCAATAAGTCCAATACAAGACTGCAAGACTTCACGCCATAAAAAGTCTGTTAAGCACCAAAGTGTTTTGTTGTCACCTTGAGTAATTATTTAACCCTGTTTTGTCCGTTGTGGTGGGACTTTATGCCACATATTCAACCCAGGTAAACAATTACAGAGATATTGTCAATTGCTTTCCTTCTCTCGAATTAAGTTGACGCTCACAACAAATGACTTACCTCCATTAAGACGGGCTCTGATGGTACCATTGTAGAGGAGTTCATACCCAACGGCCTCATAGTCCCGCAGTTTCTTGTAGATGGTGGAATTAACCCAGCTAGGCCATGTGACATTGTGGTTATGCTGAAACACCAGGCTGATGTGACATTGTGGTTATGCTGAAACACCAGGCTGATGTGACATCGTGGTTATGCTGAAACACCAGGCTGATGTGACATTGTGGTTATGGTGAAACACCAGGCTGATGTGACATCGTGGTTATGCTGAAACACCAGGCTGATGTGACACCAGGCTTGACATTGTGAAACACCAGGCTGATGTGACATTATGGTTATGGTGAAACACCAGGCTGATGTGACATCGTGGTTATGCTGAAACGACAGGCTGATGTGACATTATGGTTATGCTGAAACACCAGGCTGATGTGACATCGTGGTTATGCTGAAACACCAGGCTGATGTGACATTGTGGTTATGCTGAAACACCAGGCTGATGTGACATTGTGGTTTTGCTGAAACACCAGGCTTATGCTTCATCGATCATACACCAACGGGTATAACAGGACCAGGGTGCCCTTGCACAAAGCGACCTAAACGCTAAGGTGACCGTAACTCCAACACCTTAATATGGACTTAAGGTAGTCTTATCGCTAAGGCTGTGTTGTACAACGGCACCCTAGACGAAAGAAGTATACTGTATCTCGACTGACAAGTATCTCTAGGTAGCAGCAACGTAGCCGTCTAACAAATGTTGTCCTTTTCGTCATTCAGACAAGATGGCACCACCAAAGGAGCCGTACCTCTCTGTAATTCTTTGTCACTTGGGCACTAATCCAAGATTTGCCATGATTATGTTTCTAGGTTTCTCAACACCCTATCTACGTGGGTTTGTCTAATTGATATTCTGCTACTTAACTGATACAGTGATCGAAAGATGTTGAATCAAACTCATTGTAATCCATTCATATATGTAACTTTCTGAACTGTCAACCACGGTGATATAATGACTTTATAAGGTAATCCAGGACAAGGCGGGCTCTGGTCTTACCTGCACAAAATAACCTCGGCTAAGATAAACATTGGTCATTAAGGTGAAATTAACGTCTTATCCTACTGTAAGTGTAATCTGTATGAGTCCAGGTTTCGCGGACCTAATGTCCAATTTGGTGAACAAAAATAGGATTGGGTGTTCATAGTGTTCTACATGCCCCAACAGCATAGGTCGGTGTTACTGTCATCAGTCATGGGTTTCTCTCCCTACCTGCATCAAGATCACCTGCTGATAACAAAGATTTCATTGACACTTTGTATGTAGACTCACCTCACAAAACAGAGTGTCGGAGATCTCCCATAGATTCTTAAAGGTGACTGGAGAAAGACCTGACTTTTCCTCCAAAAAATGGAAGAAATCCTGAAAGGAATATTTCTCATATATATATATATGTTACCAGTGTTTGTATATTTGACATTTGGAATATTCAACTTTACATTTTTGTGTAATTTGAAAGAAGTATCTGTCATGCAGCTAGCTTAACATGTCATGCAACATGACACTTTCATAATCCACCAACCTCTTAAACATCATGTCATGTCCACAAACAGAAATTTAACCAACATGCAATGCCTCTATGGCATCATATAATTACAACAAAAGATTTCACGATGCACAGACCTTTTTCACCTCGTGTAATAACCACATTCGATATATCACTAATACCCAGTACCTTTGTGACATCATGTAATGTCTACGGAGATTCCACAAGCAATTGTTATCACTGTTTAAACATGTGATCATCCATCTCGAGTTTCATGTTTCATGAAAACCTCGTGTTATCACTTACAGCGTTCGAAATTAACGTCGGTCCTCAGGCCCGAAACCGACTGAAAACCACTCGGACCCACAGCTTTTGTTTTCTGCAGGTCCTTATGACCGATAACTAAGAGTATTATTTTTCAGAAAATATCATTCAGTATTTTTTAGTTTTTATCTCGATCAGCAGCTGTTGTCTGTAAGTAAAACGACTATCATTTTCGAGGAAGCAATATAGATTACTGAAATCTGATTTGTTTAACCTCGAACAAGTTGCCGTGAATCACCTATATTGTCGCTAAGATAAAGGGCCTACACATTCCGATCAGGACCCACAACCTTCTATGGTTCCAGGTCCCTAGGGCCTGCGGCTTTTCAGGGTTAAGGGCAAACACCGATCACTTAATTTCAAAGTGATTCATAAAAATCTGTCTTCATTTTGGTTACAAATTATTCTTTTTCCAGCGTCAGAATTACGACTGGAGGTCACTGTTGGTGTCAGACATACCTTGTTGTCTTCTTCTACCCTGTGTACCTGTACCGAGTTGAAGCGTAGGTTGTACAACAAGTCATTCTTGGGGCACGGCTTCCCTAAAGCCAACATCTGAAAATAACGGACAAGCTTACTGTGTGGAAAACCATGTCCACTAGTTCCTCTGAATCTACCCCAATGTTCCTGGCGTGTTTCACCTGACAAGCTGGCCATACAGCTGAAACACCTGGTGGAGGGGCAGAGTGTACTATAACTGCCTGTAATACAAATGGACTAAATAATATGGGGGAGTGAGTAAATGATGTAGATCCTTCGTCGCATCGGCATAATTTCTGCCACAGAGGAAAGAGATCAAGTCTACATATTCCATTTTATGCACAAAGTTAAAAGGAATTTCTTTCGATGTATATTTCATGATTAAAGTCTTCTTTACAATTATTAGAAAACATCACAACACCAAACGTATATGAGGATGAAGAGGGGAACATGGACCTTAATGACTGGTCATATACAAAGAAAAACAATAAAATATAGTTCATATTATCCCCCAAAACATCTCGCCTGGCTGTAAACAATGTTAGCTTGAACATGAAGTCACCACCCATTTGCTCACCATCACGTACACACAGAGGGATTGTACAACCGCAGGACGCGTGTTGACCACTGTGCACGACAACACATCACAAGTGGATCCTGTTTCAAAAATATTCTCAATTTTTATGTAATAATCTTTACTTCAGATGCTCTAAATGTTATCTTACAATGTGTGAGCTGTTTACAACCTCAGTATACACAGAGTAGCTACACTGCCGTATATAATGGATATCTGCTGTATGTATTAACGCACATTATCTTCCACTTTGGGTCTGGTGTGGACGGGGATTGGCTGCCAGGGGATGTTGCTGTTCCACACTTGGTCCCCACTTGGAGGGTACAGACCGGCCAGGTTGGAGTAGGCAGACATCATGGCCCTGTCTGCGTCTGAACTCTCAACGCGGATCTGAAGAGAAGACCATACGCAACCAAGCAACACAAACAGGACATGTAACACGTTAGATCGACCTTGACCTAGCGCCGTGGATCAAAATACGTCACACCACCATCAAGTTATACTGGTCCGTAATCTCTGCATCTTTTCCGTGTTGTCATAGAAGTAAGCTGCTAGGATACCGGTTTGAACAGTCATCCACAGTGTGACGTCCCGACCATTCAGTCTGACTTACCTCCCGTTTTTGTAGTACTGGATTGACACTCTTTCCACTCCACCCATTCCGTATAAGATCTTGATCACATTTGCCAGGGGCAGCTACGATAAAGTAGTCTACGATTTCCCGTACGAATATTTAGGCATCGTAGGTGAACCTACGATCCTTTACATCCAAACAATCGTGCTTTTACCGCACGATCACCGTGCGGCCTACGTGAGGTACCCGTGCAGTGCCCGTGCGATACCACCGAAGGGGTACGGGCTACGGGCTACGGGATTACGATTTTTAATTTTTTTTGGTCAAACTTCGCCCGTAGAATCGTGCGGTAATTGTATGGCCTCCGCCTGCCGCCGCACGGAAATTGAGCTACGGGCAGTTTACGGGCGCCGTAGACCCATCGCAGGCTTAATGTGAACCAGGGGCTCCTTTCACGAAGCAACCTTTACTAAGGTTAACCTTAACTCTCATTCTTTAACATTGGACTAAGGTTACCTTAGTGACTTACGATCACCTTAGCGCTTTGTGAAAGGAAGGTCAGGCAGTTAACCTTCCTTCCACACAACCCATCTCTGTGTGAGGAGTTCCCCTCGATTCTACGCCACCCACATCTGGCTTACCCTCCTTCCATGCCACCCACATCTGGCTTACCCTCCTTCCATGCCACCCACCTCTGGTTTACTCTCCTTCCATGCCACCCACCTCTGGCTTACCCTCCTCCCATGCCACCCACCTCTGGCTTACCCTCCTTCCATGCCACCCACCTCTGGTTTACCCTCCTTCCATGCCACCCACCTCTGGCTTACCCTCCTTCCATGCCACCCACCTCTGGCTTACCCTCCTTCCATGCCACCCACCTCTGGCTTACCCTCCTTCCATGCCACCCACCTCTGGCTTACCCTCCTTCCATGCCACCCACATCTGGTTTACCCTCCTTCCATGCCACCCACCTCTGGCTTACCCTCCTTCCATGCCACCCACCTCTGGCTTACCCTCCTTCCATGCCACCCACATCTGGTTTACCCTCCTTCCATGCCACCCACCTCTGGCTTACCCTCCTTCCATGCCACCCACCTCTGGCTTACCCTCCTTCCATGCCACCCACCTCTGGCTTACCCTCCTTCCATGCCACCCACCTCTGTGTGTAGGTACCTGTCGCTGAGAAACCCAGAGTAGCGCCGTCGGAGGAAGCGGCCTAAAGAGTAGAGTTGCTCCATTCCATCCTGAAATGTAATGTGTGATGTAATACTACGTCATCTGCCATGTTAACGCCGTATTGCAACAGTTCACAGAGGTCAGTGTCAACATACTTACAGTCGTCAGCCACTTGAGTCCCTGGGGCCACGTAGCATTCTGCACGTGGGGATTCTTCGGGTAAGTAGTGTACGGGGTGCGGTCGCCATGGCGATACATCTGAATCAAAGTAATGTGCCGTTGCCTCAAATAACTTTTGATATTCAGTTAATGACACATGACATGAAACTGATGATCTTACTGAGCTGCAGGTTTACATGATTTGGCGAGTCCAGGCTATAGGTTTATATGTAGACGCATGCCAATCAGTAAGAAGAGAGAGTAAGAATGTGAATGTGAGGTACAAACCGACAATCATCCTGTGGTTTTTGGCACTTCCAAGGGTTGCATCCCTTCACTGTGAATCACATATCCAGTTGAAGACTTCTCCCCATCAAAGAATCGACTTGGTGCGGAGGTTTCATTGAAGAAAGGATTTTTCCACCCACCCAATAATAATAATAAAAAAACAAAACAACAAAAAACAAAAACAAAACAAAACAAAACAAAATCAGTCAACTTGACGATGAAAGAGTTTGTTGTGTACACCGGTAAATATGGATGACCCCAAAATGACATATAGGGTAACTGAACAGCATATGACTGCAGTTACTTTTGCCTGAGTATATGCATATAGAAAGACCGCTCTCTAAAAGAATACTTATAGAACGTTTTCTGAGAATAATGACTTCCAGTTTAGTGGAATCATTTTTCATGGGGATGGTGACAGGGTCAAGAGTGACTAAATTAACTGCCATTAGTTATTGAGTGGACGGGATAAGGGGTAGGGGCGTGGGTGGGTGAGTGTGTGGGGATGGTGACAGGGTCAAGAGTGACTAAATTAACTGCCATTAGTTATTGAGTGGACGGGATAAGGGGTAGGGGCGTGGGTGGGTGAGTGTGTAGTAAGGTAACTATCCTTCAGTATTTCAGGCTTTAGGATGTAGGAACAGATACTGACTTCAAGACTTAGATGAGATATGATGAATGTAAGTCTTACCAGATTGACAAGTCGTAGTGTTGTAGGAGCTGTGGTGTTGACGGACCAGCAACCGATTACAAGGATCAGTGTCACAACTGCAGCAGACTGCCCTGCCATGTTTGTACAGACTGGAAGAGGTTTGTGGACTTGACGAGTTTTGTGTACACAGCTTATCAGCTTATCAGCATATCAGCATATTCTTTAAACAGAAACCACATACCCAATATTCACACGACCTTGCACTTCAGTAACCTCGATGTGTTTGTCATTTGTTCGTCTGCAGAATTCCGGCCTCCAAGAGGAACTTATCAACAGATACGTCCGGTGATCTCATCTGTTGTGTCTGATATTTGTATCACGTGTTCGTTGACCTTCATTGGATGTTCAATGTTTGGCCACTGCTGGCCACTGCTAGCCACTGCTGGTCGGTGCTGGTCGGTGCTGGTCAGTGCTGGCCACTGCTGGCCACTGCTAGCTACTGCTGGTCGGTGCTGGTCACTGCTGGTCGGTGCCGAGCGGTGCTGGTCGGTGTTGGTCGGTGCTGGCCAGTGCTGGCCAGTTATGGTCGGTGCTGGTCAGTGCTGGTCACTGCTGGCCACTGCTGGCCACTGCTAGCTACTGCTGGTCGGTGCCGAGCGGTGCTGGTCGGTGCTGGTCACTGCTGGCCACTGCTAGCCACTGCTGGTCGGTGCTGGTGCTGGTCGGTGCTGGTCAGTGCTGGTCAGTGCTGGTCAGTGCTGGCCACTGCTGGCCACTGCTAGCTACTGCTGGTCGGTGCTGGTCGGTGCTGGTCGGTGCTGGCCAGTGCTGGCCAGTTATGGTCGGTGCTGGTCAGTGCTGGCCAGTGCTGGTCGGTGCTGGTCGGTGCTGGTCGGTGCTGGCCAGTGCTGGCCACTACTGGTCAGTGCTCGCCACTGCTTGCCACTGCTGGTCAGTGCTGGTCACTGCTGGTATTTCACCATACAAACTGCACCCAACTGACGAACGTAGATACTACACAGCTTCTAATGGTCTGCACTTTCACTGAAAGATGTACACAATATGTATAACGAGCACACTTACCATGAATTGACAGACATAACACACTGATTGGTTTATCCCGGCCTCTTGGTGTATATGTTCATGTATAGGTATGAATAACTACGGTATAATGAACTAACTCCCTCTGATTTTGCTACAACCATGGCTTACTGCATACTAAAACATTGTAACAGTTTCTTTTCTGGTAAGTTATTATTTTTGCCTATGTTTTGTTTTTAAATAATGGCTATCACATACCAGTCCGTTTGACTCCCTAGTATATCAACAATCATTACGCAGAAGAAACTACTAGAAAAATACTATACTAGGTTAGTGTGATCAACATATTTGTTTATATTGAGAACATTTTTAAAAGGCATTTTAATATTCTCTATAACATACTTAATCCATAACCTAAACAGATCCCTGTCGGTAGTTCTTGTTTTGCGTGTGTTGTTCGTGCTTAAGAAGTCCGTGATGGAAAAAACATAGGCAGTCAACATGCTCTTTAAAAAGTAAGGCTCTGAACTTAAAATCATTGTCACTCAAATCATTGCTTAAACTCGACGGGTCCGAAAAACACAAATTTGGAAGAAGCTGCTTGCATTTCTCTATGTCACGGTTTGGGTGGTTAGGCTCACTGACTTGGTTGACACATGTCATCGGTTCCCAATTTCGCAGGTCGATGCTCATGATGTTGATCACTGGATTGTCTGGTCCAGAATCGATTATTTCCAGACGGCCTCCATATAACTGGAATATTGCTGAGTGCGCCGTAAAACTAACTCACTCACTCACTCATGCCACGGCCAACTGAAAATGAACGATGGCGAGGTATTGGAATGTTTGAGACCGGAACATCCCAGCGCAACGTTGCACGGCAGTTTAACAAGCACAGAAACACCATATGCCACTTTACATCATCAGCAAAACGCTGCAGACCGTCCCCGAGGTGGCCGTCCACCTTTAACCACGCCACGCAACGATCGTTGGATTCGAACCACCCATCTGCGTCAAAGATTCCAACCAGCCACACTGACATCCCGAACAGTTCCTGCATAGTGTCAACAGGATATCGCTAAGGACCATCCGCCAGCGTCTGGCTGCACATAAGATACGTGCTAGACGTCCTGCCAGACGACAAATTTGAACATTGCGACACCAACGTCAACGACTGCAGTGGTGCAGACATCTGCGGTGGAGAGTACGTGAGTGGAGACATGTTCTCTTCACTGGCGAGTCCAGATTTCTCTTGCACCGCGCTGATGCCCGAACCCGAGTTTACCGGCGACGTTGTGAGCGTTATGTTAGCAACTGTGTCCTTTAGGCCGGCCATATTTTGGCGGCGGTGGAGTGATGGTTTTAGGTGGGATAACGAGTGCTGGACGTACAACTTTGCTTGTCATCAATGGAAATTTCAGGTACAGAGACCAAATTGTTACTCCAGTCGTAATACCGTTTCTCCAGAAGAATGGTCCAATAATGATCTGTTGGCAAGACAACGTCGGACCTCATGTCGCCAGGGTGGTTCAGCAGCACAATGTTAACGTCCGTCCCTGGCCCGCTAAATCCCCAGATCTGTTCACGGCTGGGACAAAATGGAGAGGAGATTGAGACGTTGGCCAAATCCCCCAGTCACGCTTCTTGAACTCCGACAGGTCCTTACAGATATGGAATGCCATTCCACAAGACTTCTTGCGACGTTTGATTGGCTCGATGAGCGCAGGTGAAAAACATGCATCAATGCTCATGGTGGACATACACGTGATTGACTGTGTGAATTTCATTTTGGCCGTCCTCTCACTGTGACCTCATTAGCATGTGTCTGCCAGAAAAGTTTAAAAGTGCCATTTTGCAATCCAATTGTGAAATGATTTTCTTGCAGCATTAAAAGATTCTCATCATAAAAATATCAGTTATTAATTCACATATCTAACTTCAAGTCAATCACAATAACCTTTGGACCGCCTCCGTGGTGTAGTGGTTAGAGCGTCCGCCCGGAGAACGGAAGGTCGCGGGTTATGGCACTTGTTGGTCCCTGCCTGGCGCTCGGCATTAATGGGTACAACAAGGACTGGTCGGCTCGGAGTCAGTATAATGTGTCTGAGTGGGGTATTCATGCTTCACTGCGGCATGGTATCTCAGTGGGCTAGCACTATACAACCAGCTGAAGTCTGGGCTAGTACAAGCAGGCGCACATACACATACACACGCATGCACATTGTCATATGAGCGAAATATTCTCAAGCACGACGTTAAACCCACTTCCACCTCACCTCACCTCACAATAACCTTTGCCTTTGAGTATATGTTTGGATCTTTACCTGTGCTTCTTATTCTTCACATGAAAACATTTCCAGAGTTTACCTGTCACTACATCAAGTGCTGGAAGCTGCTGACAAGCACAGGGCAATGTAATATATCCCGCTAGGTATAACAAATAACATAACAAACAATGCTTATAGTATGGAATGTTATTTATATACATACATGACTTACAAAAACACAAGAAACAGAAAATGTGGGAGCTTGTTGATGACAGTAGGGACTTAGCCCATACAAGTAGGTTGTCATAGAAACAGTTCATATTGATGTTGGCCATTGGACTAAGTAGTGAAACGGTATTAAGAAATAATGACCAACAAACAATTAAAAACACCCTACTTTACAGAGAAAACAGCTGTTTCAGTAATGAAAAAAACCCATAATAAACTGATCAAATGCTTGTCTACACACACTGTAATCAAATGCTTGTCTACACACACTGTGACAGGCACACAGAAAACCAAGTTAACCCAGAAGGGTCCATGTTGAACTGTATGCAGTGAGCATTAGTAGGGCGAGCATAGCCACAACCCAGCAGTCAGAGTGACATCAATAAGATGCAAGACATATATTGTGTCATGTCACCCATAAAGCCTAGTGGTTAAAGCATTGGCTTGTCTCACTGAAGACCTGGTTTTGATTCCCCACATGGTACATTATGTGAAGCTATTTCTGGTGTCCCCATTGTGACATTACTGGGATATTGTTAAAAGTGGTGTAAAATCATACTCACTCACTCACTCCACATGGCTGAAGTACTGAATAATGGCTCTATAAGAATTGTTGTCCCATGGAATGGAAGGATCATTCTACACAACCCCTCTACAAGGTGTTACAAACTGCAGCTACACCGGATAGCCAGGAGGAAACTTAGCCTAATCAAACATGCTTTTGTGATCACTGTGTGAAGCAGAATTTTTCAGGAAATGTTAATTCCTGTAACATCTGGCCATGTAAGCTGGTCATGTGATATTGTCTCCACTGTCCTCTGTGATCAGGTAACATGTAACATGTACTACACTAGTATTGCTGATTCACTATAACAAAATATGGGGGTGAAGCCTGGCTTACTCATATCAGAAATATTTGGCTGTGCATTTTATAATATAAATAACATGAATTAAAGGAGCAATGTAAGGAAAATTGGTCTGGAGAAGCAAACCATGAATATATTTTTCAAATAAACTCGTGATGAACTGATGAAAAAGTGATTGCTGTCCCAAACAGTACCCGCTTCCAGCTGATGGGGTGGTCGAGCTGTTTACAGGCAGTAGCTTATTCAAACTGTTGGGAGTTTGAGCTGGTAGTTTGATCTCTCTTGCTACAACCCTACTGTGTCATCTCATTGTGAACTGTTTTAGTTTGTCGTTTAACACCATACTCAGCAATATTCCAGCTGTATGACGGTGGTCTGTAAGTAATTGAGTCTGGACCAGACAATCCAGTGATAAACAGCATGAGCATAATGAACAGGATGAGGGGAACACAGTTAGTACAAGCCATGCCACAACACAGTCACCAAGTTACTCCAGCAATATGTCCAGTGTGGTACATGCATGCTCCTTGGTGGCTCCTAGAGAGGCTGAGGTGAAACAAGAACCACACACATCTGGATGTTCACAGCACAACAAGTAATTGTTTCTGGAATGTTATATATGACCCTGAAAATATTAGTTTCAACATCAACACACAAAATCAGTTTAACTGGACCAATTATCATAGAATTGTTTCATATACCGGATATTATTTGTCCCGTCATATCACAGATTTGATACATGAGAAGAATGGTGCAACAAGTTGTATAATAAACAGCACACAGAGAAGATGAACACTTCACAGGTACATAACTAAAACAGAAGTACATGCCAGCAACATTACACATCTTCTACCTACACAGGCACTCATGAAGGCATTAAGACCTGTGTTTGAACTGACTGCTTTGAATACAAACAAGCTGGAAATGGCTTCACTCTAAACAACATTATGATGTCTCTTCATCATAAGTATCTTCCAAAATCCAATGTTGGGTTTTATGAAAATGTAGTGCTACTCTTGTTTATCTGATTATCAAACAGGACAGATATTCACATTTTCTGCACACAACTACAGAGAAATAAACAAATAAGATATTAAAATCAAGTGACTTAAACAAAATGTTGTGTCACAAGGTATACCAAAGAAAATTGGGTTTGAACATCTTCAACAAATTGGGGCATCATTGATATGATCAACAAGTGGAGTTGTACCTGGAGTTGTACCTGGAGTTGTACCTGCACTGACCCCCTGATACATTGTGGTGAGCACTACAAGACAAAGGACGTCAAACAGGTCACAACTCATAACACTTTCTACACGGAGCATTACAAGGTATATGTTTGCTCCCTACTGTTACTGTCGCAGGGGGGTAGTCTAATGGTTAAAGTGTCCACTCATCACACTGAAGACACGGGTTCGATTCCCAATATTGGTACAATGTGTGAAGCCCATTTCTGGTGTCTCCTGCCGTGATATTGCTGGAATATTTGCTAAAAGCGGCATAAAACTAAACTCCCTCACACACTGTTACAGATATATCCCATATACCAGTGAACTACCTCTACATATACGGTCCTCTATACCAGTAAACTATCTCTATATACACGGTCCTATATCCCAGTAAACTATCTCTATATACACGGTCCTATATCCCAGTAAACTATCTCTAGCTAAATGATCCCATGGACAATATTTGAAGTAATAAACAAAGATTCTACCTGTGGCAGCTCTGTGATATAATCAAACGCTGCAGACCATTTCTGCTGTACACAGAGACACACAATCTATGCATACAAACACAAAGGATGTTCAGTATCTTCAAACTATCAGTACTAGAAATGTGACTGTCCCCATACATACAATGGCTAGAAAGAAAACACATCAATTCAGATATACCTGTATAAATATTAATGTGACAGTCCTCTTAAGTGTAGGCCCACAAAGTACACATCAATACACATATATTGTGGTGATACACCTCCTGCATATTACTGCCTATGAGATTCAGCCTCAGGCCTCTTGTTGTATATTTTGTCAGTTATCCCAGCATTGTAAGGTCTGTTTGCAAAGGTTCACCTAAAGAGAAATCTGTTAAAAGATGAATAAAGTTGTTGATTGTGAACTATTTCATGTTACTGAAATTACACAGAAAAACACGAGACAGCAGTGTTGACGGATCACATTTCAATTATATTCCACATCTGTGAAAGTTTAGGTGAGTGTTTGCCTATAGAAAGATGATCTGTACAAACAACTCACTTCTTTACAACACGTCTAGGGCAATAAACAGTTTATCATCAGTGACAAAACAGTAGAGAAATGGTTTAGAGATATGAACCTCCTGTGTTTGGGAGAGGATGTGAATTCACTGTTGTGTTGGGGCTGACAGTAGTGTTGCCCAGGTATACTGACCCTGGGTGTTCATTTTGCCACCAAACACAGGGAGAATATGTTGTTTGCTTACTTCAAAAGTGGTACCTGGTATCTGTAACTTCTAGATACCACATACACCTGGGACACAGGTACATATACAGGTATAACAGATTTTCTGGCAATGTGGTACAATGAAGATTTTATGTATCAACAACTATGTATGCTTTAACATGGAAAATACATAAATGTCTCTATTCTCTCCAACAGTACAACACGCGATAGTGTAGACGTCACAAGCCAGGAGGTGGAGTCTGGTCTGACAGCCTATATCGTCATCTTGTAGCCGAAGCCCCCCGAGCTCCTCTGCCGCTTGCAACACATGACGAGGATAACCAGGATGAGGATGAGGACCACGCAGGAAGCCACGGAGACGGCGATGATGGTGGCTGCAACAGATTATAAATCATAGTTCAGTATTGATGTCGCGGTAATATCAAACTTACCCAAGCCTGTTTTACAAAGTACATGAATATGTCTCTCAGCTAAGTTACATGCATTACACACTCGAGGAGCATACCCAGCCAGACAGCATTTCTGCATCAGTGTAACAATATCTTCCACACAACTGACTCGGTGGTTGTTACCCTCAGACACCATATCTATCATAAGAAGGAAGATGTCACATCATTGACTAGTAACATAATTCAGCAAGAAGCTGTCGTACCAAGGTTAAACTTGAGTTCAGCCGATCCTCCAATGTCACATTCTTTCTTCCAGTCAGTAGGAACCATGTCTCTGGTCAGGGACACAAACTGGGTGAATGGGCACTTGAAGTCACAACCTGCAAGAATGAATAGTTCACACTGAGACTCAGTAATCAAATATGGAATCAAGTTTGGTTACTATCAATATCTTGTAGTGTAGCAACAGGCATGATGAAAAGCAGGGAAGAGTAATATAGACCTAATTTGTCACAATCATCAAGGCAATGATTCATTCAATTTGGTCCAAATAAAAATGTGATCTCTCGTTACACAATGTCAGGTTTATGAGTAGACATGGTACACAGTGTGGTTCATTAGTAGATCTGTTACACAGTGTGGTTCATTAGTAGATCTGTTACACAGTGTGCTTCATTAGTACATCTGTTACACAGTGTGGTTCATAAGTAGATCTGTTACACCGTGTGGTTCATTAGTAGATCTGTTACACATTGTGGTTCATTAGTAGATCTGTTACACAGTGTGGTTCATTAGTAGATCTGTTACACCGTGTGCTTCATTAGTAGATCTGTTACACAGTGTGCTTCATTAGTAGATCTGTTACATAGAGTGGTTCATTAGTACATCTGTTACACCGTGTGCTTCATTAGTAGATCTGTTACACCGTGTGCTTCATTAGTAGATCTGTTACACAGTGTGCTTCAATAGTAGATCTGTTACACAGTGTTCTTCATTGGTAGATATGTTACACAGTGTGGGACATTAGTAGATCTGTTACACAGTGTGGTTCATTAGTAGATCTGTTACAGTGTGGTTCATAAGTAGATCTGTTACACAGTGTGGTTTATTAGTTGAAATGTTAGTGTGGTTCATTAGTAGATCTGTTACACAGTGTGGTTCATTAGTAGATCTGTTACAGTGTGCTACATTAGTAGATCTGTTACACAGTGTGGTTCATAAGTAGATCTGTTACACAGTGTTCTTCATTAGTAGATATGTTACACAGTGTGGTTCATTAGTAGATCTGTTACACAGTGTGCTTAGTTAGTACATGTTACACAGTGTGGTTCATTAGTAGATCTGTTACACAGTGTGGTTCATTACTAGATATGGTACACAGTGTGCTACACTAGTAGATCTGTTACACAGTGTGGTTCATTAGTAGATCTGTTACAGTGTGGTTCACTAGTAGATCTGTTACACAGTGTGGTACATTAGTAGATGTTACACCGTGTGGTTCACTAGTAGATCTGTTACACAGTGTGCTTCATTAGTAGATCTGTTACACAGTGTGGTTCACTAGTAGATCTGTTACACCGTCTGCTTCATTAGTAGATCTGTTACACAGTGTGGTTCATTAGTAGATCTGTTACACCGTGTGCTTCATTAGTAGATCTGTTACACAGTGTGCTTCATTAGTAGATCTGTTACACAGTGTGGTTCATTAGTAGATCTGTTACACAGTGAGCTTCATTAGTAGACCTGTTACACCGTGTGGTTCATTAGTAGATCTGTTACACAGTGTGGTTCATTAGTAGATCTGTTACACAGTGTGGTTCATAAGTAGATCTGTTACACAGTGTGGTTCATAAGTAGATCTGTTACACAGTGTTGTTCATTACTACATATGTTACACAGTGTGGTTCATTAGTAGATATGTTACACAGTGTGGTTCATTAGTAGATCTGTTACACCGTCTGCTTCATTAGTAGATCTGTTACACAGTGTGCTTCATTAGTAGATCTGTTACAGTGTGGTTCATTAGTAGATCTGTTACACCGTGTGCTTCATTAGTAGATCTGTTACACAGTGTGGTTCATTAGTAGATCTGTTACACAGTGTGGTTCATTAGTAGATCTGTTACACAGTGAGCTTCATTAGTAGACCTGTTACACCGTGTGGTTCATTAGTAGATCTGTTACACAGTGTGGTTCATTAGTAGATCTGTTACACAGTGTGGTTCATAAGTAGATCTGTTACACAGTGTGGTTCATAAGTAGATCTGTTACACAGTGTGGTTCATTAGTAGATCTGTTACAGTGTGGTTCATTAGTAGATCTGTTACACAGTGTGGTTCATTAGTAGATCTGTTACACAGTGTTGTTCATTACTACATATGTTACACAGTGTGGTTCATTAGTAGATATGTTACACAGTGTGGTTCATTAGTAGATCTGTTACACCGTGCTTCATTAGTAGATCTGTTACACAGTGTGGTTCATTAGTAGATCTGTTACACAGTGTGGTTCACTAGTTGATCTGTTACACAGTTTGCTTCATTGGTAGATCTGTTACACAGTGTGTTTCATTAGTAGATATGTTACAGTGTCTTTCATTAGTAGATCTGTTACACAGTGTGGTTCATTAGTAGATCTGTTACACAGTGTGGTTCATTAGTAGATCTGTTACACAGTGTGCTTCATTAGTAGATCTGTTACACATTGTGGTTCATTAGTAGATATGTTACACAGTGTGGTTCATTAGTAGATATGTTACACAGTGTGGTTCATTAGTAGATATGTTACACAGTGTGGTTCATTAGTAGATCTGTTACACAGTGTGGCTTCATTAGTAGATCTGTTACACAGTGTGGTTCATTAGTAGATCTGTTACACAGTGTGGTTCATTAGTAGATATGTTACACAGTGTGGTTCATTAGTAGATCTGTTACAGTGTGGTTCATTAGTAGATATGTTACACAGTGTGGTTCATTAGTAGATCTGTTACACAGTGTGCTTCATAAGTTGATATGTTACACAGTGTGGTTCATTAGTAGATCTGTTAGTGTGGTTCATTAGTAGATCTGTTACACAGTGTGCTTCATTAGTAGATATGAGTGTGGTTCATTAGTAGATATGTTACACAGTGTGGTTCATTAGTAGATCTGTTACACAGTGTGGTTCATTAGTAGATCTGTTACACAGTGTGGTTCATTAGTAGATATGTTACACAGTGTGGTTCATTAGTAGATCTGTTACACAGTGTGGTTCATTAGTAGATATGTTACACAGTGTGGTTCATTAGTAGATCTGTTACACAGTGTGGTTCATTAGTAGATCTGTTACACAGTGTGGTTCATTAGTAGATATGTTACACAGTGTGGTTCATTAGTAGATATGTTACACACAGTGTGGTTCATTAGTAGATCTGTTACACAGTGTGGTTCATTAGTAGATCTGTTACACAGTGTGGTTCATTAGTAGATCTGTTACACAGTGTGGTTCATTAGTAGATCTGTTACACAGTGTGGTTCATTAGTAGATCTGTTACAACACAGTGTGGTTCATTAGTAGATATGTTACACATTGTGTTTCATTAGTAGATATGTTACACAGTGTGGTTCATTAGTAGATCTGTTACACCGTCTGCTTCATTAGTAGATCTGTTACACCGTGTGCTTCATTAGTAGATCTGTTACACAGTGTGGTTCATTAGTACATCTGTTACACAGTGTGCTTCATTAGTAGATCTGTTACACAGTCTGCTTCATTAGTAGATCTGTTACACAGTGTGGTTCATTAGTAGATCTGTTACACAGTGTGGTTCATTAGTAGATCTGTTACACAGTGTGGTTCATTAGTAGATCTGTTACACAGTGTGGTTCATTAGTAGATATGTTACAGTGTGGTTCATTAGTAGATCTGTTACACAGTGTGGTTCATTAGTAGATCTGTTACACAGTGTTGTTCATTACTACATATGTTACACAGTGTGGTTCATTAGTAGATCTGTTACACAGTGTGGTTCATTAGTAGATCTGTTACACAGTGTTGTTCATTACTACATATGTTACACAGTGTGGTTCATTAGTAGATATGTTACACAGTGTGGTTCATTAGTAGATCTGTTACACCGTGTGCTTCATTAGTAGATCTGTTACACAGTGTGGTTCATTAGTAGATCTGTTACACAGTGTGGTTCATTAGTAGATCTGTTACACAGTGTGGTTCATTAGTAGATCTGTTACACAGTGTTGTTCATTAGTAGATCTGTTACACAGTGTGGTTCATTAGTAGATATGTTACACAGTGTGGTTCATTAGTAGATCTGTTACACAGTGTGCTTCATTAGTAGATCTGTTACACCGTGTGGTTCATTAGTAGATCTGTTACACAGTGTGGTTCATTAGTAGATCTGTTACACAGTGTGGTTCATTAGTAGATCTGTTACACAGTGTGGTTCATTAGTAGATCTGTTACACAGTGTGCTTCATAAGTAGATCTGTTACACAGTGTGGTTCATTAGTAGATCTGTTACACAGTGTGCTTCATTAGTAGATCTGTTACACAGTGTGTTTCATTAGTAGATATGTTACACAGTGTCTTTCATTAGTAGATCTGTTACACCGTCTGCTTCATTAGTAGATCTGTTACACAGTGTGGTTCATTAGTAGATCTGTTACACCGTGTGCTTCATTAGTAGATCTGTTACACAGTGTGGTTCATTAGTAGATATGTTACACAGTGTGGTTCATTAGTAGATCTGTTACACAGTGTGGTTCATTAGTAGATATGTTACACAGTGTGGTTCATTAGTAGATCTGTTACAGTGTGGTTCATTAGTAGATATGTTACACAGTGTGGTTCATTAGTAGATCTGTTACACAGTGTGGTTCATTAGTAGATCTGTTACACAGTGTGGTTCATTAGTAGATCTGTTACACAGTGTGGTTCATTAGTAGATCTGTTACACAGTGTGGTTCATTAGTAGATCTGTTACACAGTGTGGTTCATTAGTAGATCTGTTACACAGTGTGGTTCATTAGTAGATCTGTTACACAGTGTGGTTCATTAGTAGATCTGTTACACAGTGTGGTTCATTAGTAGATCTGTTACACAGTGTGGTTCATTAGTAGATCTGTTACACAGTGTGGTTCATTAGTAGATCTGTTACACAGTGTGGTTCATTAGTAGATCTGTTACAGTGTGGTTCATTAGTAGATCTGTTACACAGTGTGGTTCATTAGTAGATCTGTTACACAGTGTGCTTCATTAGTAGATATGTTACACAGTGTGGTTCATTAGTAGATCTGTTACACAGTGTGGTTCATTAGTAGATCTGTTACACAGTGTGGTTCATTAGTAGATATGTTACACAGTGTGGTTCATTAGTAGATCTGTTACACAGTGTGGTTCATTAGTAGATCTGTTACACAGTGTGGTTCATTAGTAGATCTGTTACACAGTGTGGTTCATTAGTAGACCTGTTACACAGTGTGGTTCATTAGTAGATCTGTTACAGTGTGGTTCATTAGTAGATATGTTACACAGTGTGGTTCATTAGTAGATATGTTACACAGTGTGGTTCATTAGTAGATCTGTTACACAGTGTGGTTCATTAGTAGATCTGTTACACAGTGTGGCTTCATTAGTAGATCTGTTACACAGTGTGGTTCATTAGTAGATCTGTTACACAGTGTGCTTCATTAGTAGATCTGTTACACAGTCTGCTTCATATCTGTTACACAGTGTGGTTCATTAGTAGATCTGTTACACAGTGTGGTTCATTAGTAGATCTGTTACACAGTGTGGTTCATTAGTAGATCTGTTACACAGTGTGGTTCATAAGTAGACCTGTTACACAGTGTGGTTCATTTGTAGATCTGTTACAGTGTGGTTCATTAGTAGATATGTTACACAGTGTGGTTCATTAGTAGATATGTTACACAGTGTGGTTCATTAGTAGATCTGTTACACCGTCTGCTTCATTAGTAGATCTGTTACACAGTCTGCTTCATAAGTAGATATGTTACACAGTGTGGTTCACTAGTTGATCTGTTACACAGTTTGCTTCATTGGTAGATCTGTTACACAGTGTGTTTCATTAGTAGATATGTTACACAGTGTGTTTCATTAGTAGATCTGTTACACCGTCTGCTTCATTAGTAGATCTGTTACACAGTGTGGTTCATTAGTAGATCTGTTACACCGTGTGCTTCATTAGTAGATCTGTTACACATTGTGGTTCATTAGTAGATATGTTACACAGTGTGGTTCATTAGTAGATATGTTACACAGTGTGGTTCATTAGTAGATATGTTACACAGTGTGGTTCATTAGTAGATCTGTTACACAGTGTGCTTCATTAGTAGATCTGTTACACAGTGTGGTTCATTAGTAGATCTGTTACACAGTGTGGTTCATTAGTAGATATGTTACAGTGTGGTTCATTAGTAGATCTGTTACACAGTGTGGTTCATTAGTAGATCTGTTACACAGTGTGGTTCATTAGTAGATCTGTTACACAGTGTGCTTCATAAGTAGATATGTTACACAGTGTGGTTCATTAGTAGATCTGTTAGACAGTGTGGTTCAATAGTAGATCTGTTACACAGTTTGCTTCATTAGTAGATATGTTACACAGTGTGGTTCATTAGTAGATATGTTACACAGTGTGGTTCATTAGTAGATCTGTTACACAGTGTGGTTCATTAGTAGATCTGTTACACAGTGTGGTTCATTAGTAGATCTGTTACACAGTGTGGTTCATTAGTAGATCTGTTACACAGTGTGGTTCATTAGTAGATCTGTTACACAGTGTGGTTCATTAGTAGATCTGTTACACAGTGTGGTTCATAAGTAGATCTGTTACACAGTGTGGTTCATTAGTAGATCTGTTACACAGTGTGGTTCATTAGTAGATATGTTACACAGTGTGGTTCATTAGTAGATATGTTACACAGTGTGGTTCATTAGTAGATCTGTTACACAGTGTGCTTCATTAGTAGATCTGTTACACAGTGTGGTTCATTAGTAGATCTGTTACACAGTGTGGTTCATTAGTAGATCTGTTACACAGTGTGCTTCATTAGTAGATCTGTTACACAGTGTGGTTCATTAGTAGATCTGTTACACAGTGTGGTTCATTAGTAGATCTGTTACACAGTGTGGTTCATTAGTAGATCTGTTACACAGTGTGGTTCATTAGTAGATCTGTTACACAGTGTGCTTCATTAGTAGATCTGTTACACAGTGTGCTTCATTAGTAGATCTGTTACACAGTGTGGTTCATTAGTAGATCTGTTACACAGTGTGGTTCATTAGTAGATCTGTTACACAGTGTGCTTCATTAGTTGATATGTTACACAGTGTGGTTCATTAGTAGATCTGTTACACAGTGTGGTTCATTAGTAGATCTGTTACACAGTTTGCTTCATTAGTAGATATGTTACACAGTGTGGTTCATTAGTAGATATGTTACACAGTGTGGTTCATTAGTAGATCTGTTACACAGTGTGGTTCATTAGTAGATCTGTTACACAGTGTGGTTCATTAGTAGATCTGTTACACAGTGTGGTTCATTAGTAGATCTGTTACACAGTGTGGTTCATTAGTAGATATGTTACACAGTGTGGTTCATTAGTAGATCTGTTACACAGTGTGGTTCATTAGTAGATCTGTTACAGTGTGGTTCATTAGTAGATCTGTTACACAGTGTGGTTCATTAGTAGATATGTTACACAGTGTGGTTCATTAGTAGATCTGTTACAGTGTGGTTCATTAGTAGATCTGTTACACAGTGTGGTTCATTAGTAGATATGTTACACAGTGTGGTTCATTAGTAGATCTGTTACACAGTGTGGTTCATTAGTAGATCTGTTACACAGTGTGGTTCATTAGTAGATCTGTTACACAGTGTGGTTCATTAGTAGACCTGTTACACAGTGTGGTTCATTAGTAGATCTGTTACAGTGTGTGGTTCATTAGTAGATATGTTACACAGTGTGGTTCATTAGTAGATATGTTACACAGTGTGGTTCATTAGTAGATCTGTTACACAGTGTGCTTCATTAGTAGATCTGTTACACAGTGTGCTTCATTAGTAGATCTGTTACACAGTGTGGTTCATTAGTAGATCTGTTACACAGTGTGCTTCATTAGTAGATCTGTTACACAGTCTGCTTCATTAGTAGATCTGTTACACAGTGTGGTTCATTAGTAGATCTGTTACACAGTGTGGTTCATTAGTAGATCTGTTACACAGTGTGGTTCATTAGTAGATCTGTTACACAGTGTGGTTCATAAGTAGACCTGTTACACAGTGTGGTTCATTAGTAGATCTGTTACAGTGTGGTTCATTAGTAGATATGTTACACAGTGTGGTTCATTAGTAGATATGTTACACAGTGTGGTTCATTAGTAGATCTGTTACACCGTCCGCTTCATTAGTAGATCTGTTACACAGTCTGCTTCATAAGTTGATATGTTACACAGTGTGGTTCACTAGTGATCTGTTCATTAGTAGATCTGTTACACAGTGTGGTTCATTAGTAGATATGTTACACAGTGGTTCATTAGTAGATCTGTTACACCGTCTGCTTCATTAGTAGATCTGTTACACAGTGTGGTTCATTAGTAGATCTGTTACACCGTGTGCTTCATTAGTAGATCTGTTACACATTGTGGTTGATTAGTAGATATGTTACACAGTGTGGTTCATTAGTAGATATGTTACACAGTGTGGTTCATTAGTAGATATGTTACACAGTGTGGTTCATTAGTAGATCTGTTACACCGTCCGCTTCATTAGTAAATCTGTTACACAGTGTGGTTCATTAGTAGATCTGTTACACAGTGTGGTTCATTAGTAGATATGTTACACAGTGTGGTTCATTAGTAGATCTGTTACAGTGTGGTTCATTAGTAGATCTGTTACACAGTGTGGTTCATTAGTAGATCTGTTACACAGTGTGCTTCATAAGTTGATATGTTACACAGTGTGGTTCATTAGTAGATCTGTTAGACAGTGTGGTTCAATAGTAGATCTGTTACACAGTTTGCTTCATTAGTAGATCTGTTACACAGTGTGGTTCATTAGTAGATCTGTTACACAGTGTGGTTCATTAGTAGATCTGTTACACAGTGTGGTTCATTAGTAGATCTGTTACACAGTGTGGTTCATTAGTAGATCTGTTACACAGTGTGGTTCATTAGTAGATCTGTTACACAGTGTGGTTCATTAGTAGACCTGTTACACAGTGTGGTTCATTAGTAGATCTGTTACACAGTGTGGTTCATAAGTAGACCTGTTACACAGTGTGGTTCATTTGTAGATCTGTTACAGTGTGGTTCATTAGTAGATATGTTACACATTGTGGTTCATTAGTAGATATGTTACACAGTGTGGTTCATTAGTAGATCTGTTACACCGTCCGCTTCATTAGTAGATCTGTTACACCGTCTGCTTCATTAGTAGATCTGTTACACAGTGTGGTTCATTAGTACATCTGTTACACAGTGTGCTTCATTAGTAGATCTGTTACACAGTCTGCTTCATAAGTTGATCTGTTACACAGTGTGGTTCATTAGTAGATCTGTTACACAGTGTGGTTCACTAGTAGATCTGTTACACAGTGTGGTTCATTAGTAGATCTGTTACACCGTCCGCTTCATTAGTAGATCTGTTACACCGTCCGCTTCATTAGTAGATCTGTTACACAGTGTGGTTCATTAGTAGATCTGTTACACAGTGTGGTTCATAAGTAGATCTGTTACACAGTCTGCTTCATAAGTTGATATGTTACACAGTGTGGTTCATTAGTAGATCTGTTACACAGTGTGGTTCACTAGTAGATCTGTTACACAGTTTGCTTCATTGGTAGATCTGTTACACATTGTGGTTCATAAGTAGATCTGTTACACAGTGTGGTTCATTAGTAGATCTGTTACACAGTGTGGTTCATTAGTAGATCTGTTACACAGTGTGGTTCATTAGTAGATCTGTTACACAGTGTGGTTCATAAGTAGATCTGTTACACAGTGTGGTTCATTAGTAGATGTGTCAACCACTGTGGTTTTTAAGGCTTGGTTCTCAGGCAATGGCTTTTGAAAAATTGTGCAGGTGGACACCCTTTTTTAAAAAAATGGAATTGAATTGTGTGGTTGTGTGTGTGTGTGGCATCATCTTTTGTTCTGTGAGGTTGTGCATTGTTCTAGCCAAGTGAGCATGTATTGCTGGAGTTTTGTGGTGTCTCCTTACCTGGTATTGTGAGATTGTGAGGTGCTGTGTCATCATTGGGATCCCGGGATGTAGTATTCCTGAAATACAGCTCGATGTAAAAGTCCCCCGAGGTGTTTTGATGTAGCTCCATGAACACTGTGGATGTGTACGGTGGACTCAGTTTGTTGTACACACGAAGAGCACTCAGAATAGCTGCCACAGTTGTGTCGTGCTGCAACAACATGTCTCTAGTTACAACCTCAACAACGTACCTCGAGTCACAACCTCAACAACATATCTCTAGTTACAACCTCAACAACATATCTCTAGTTACAACCTCAACAACATATCTCTAGTTACAACCTCAACAACATATCTCTAGTCACAACCTCAACAACATATCTCTAGTTACAACCTCAACAACATGTCTCTAGTCACAACCTCAACAACATATCTCTAGTCACAACCTCAACAACATATCTCTAGTCACAACCTCAACAACATATCTCTAGTCACAACCTCAACAACATGTCTCTAGTCACAACCTCAACAACATGTCTCTATTCACAACCTCAACAACATGTCTCTAGTCACAACCTCAACAACATATCTCTAGTCACAACCTCAACAACATATCTCTAGTCACAACCTCAACAACATATCTCTAGTCACAACCTCAACAACATATCTCTAGTCACAACCTCAACAACATATCTCTAGTCACAACCTCAACAACATACCTCTAGTCACAACCTCAACAATGTATCTCTAGTCACAACCTCAACAACATATCTCTAGTCACAACCTCAACAACCTACCTCTAGTCACAACCTCAACAACGTATCTCTAGTCACAACCTCAACAACATATCTCTATTCACAACCTCAACATCTCTAGTCACAAACTCAACAACATGTCTCTATTCACAACCTCAACCTACCTCTAGTCACAACCTCAACAACATATCTCTAGTCACAACCTCAACAACATATCTCTAGTCACAACCTCAACAACATACCTCTAGTCACAACCTCAACAACATGTCTTTATTCACAACCTCAACAACATGTCTCTATTCACAACCTCAACAACATGTCTCTAGTCACAACCTCAACAACATATCTCTATTCACAACCTCAACAACATACGTCTCTAGTCACAACCTCAACAACATATCTCTAGTCACAACCTCAACAACATATCTCTAGTCACAACCTCAACAACATATCTCTAGTCACAACCTCAACAACATGTCTCTATTCACAACCTCAACAACATATCTCTAGTCACAACCTCAACAACATATCTCTAGTCACAACCTCAACAACATGTCTCTATTCACAACCTCAACAACATATCTCTAGTCACAACCTCAACAACATGTCTCTATTCACAACCTCAACAACATATCTCTAGTCACAACCTCAACAACATATCTCTAGTCACAACCTCAACAACATATCTCTATTCACAACCTCACAACTCTCTAGTCACAACCTCAACAACAGTCACAACCTCAACAACGTATCTCTAGTCACAACCTCAACAACATATCTCTATTCACAACCTCAACAACATACCTCTATTCACAACCTCAACAACGTATCTCTAGTCACAACCTCAACAACATATGTCTAGTCACAACCTCAACAACATATCTCCAGTCACAATCTCAACATATCTCAAAGATTTCTTTGAGATTATGCATGAAGGAATTGTGTGAAAACTTTGATGACTGGACCTGACTCCATCAATACACTCTATAGCATGTGTTGCTCATTCCTCACATGATGAGAACAGACATTGTCCCCAGCATTAAAACATGCACAATATACAAACACAAAGTATACTCACAGCAGAGAACATGTTCATCTTGACAATGTCGGTGGTCTGGTTCTTGATCTTCTCCCGGGTCAGGTTAATCCAGTGACTAAGCAGCGGGCCTGCCACAACCAATAACAGTGTCACACCTCTCTTACAACACAGTCTAATGTCAGAACATTATCATTGTTACATTTACGTTCCATTAATCAAACATAATCTACAGTGCCAGGGGTGTAGCTACCTTTATAAAAACAAGAAGACAAAGTCATCAATATCCCCTGCAGTGGCAAAATACTCTTTATGAATAGGTCTACCAGTTATGATTATGTCAAATGTTTTGGAGTGTATACAGCAAAGTGGAAGGAGAGTAGTGAAAGGTTTTTAAAATCTGCTCCAGAAAGGAGCAGTACCACCAAATTCAGTTGAAGCCTAACTTGTTGCCATGGAAATGCAACAAGATGACATCCTCATAGTCACAACCTAAGTCATGTTTCCATGGAAACCACACAAAATAAATTCTTATCTGGGTCTAACCCCCAAAAGTCAAATCTAGGGATCATGCTTGATATGTGTACCAAGTTTGATGAAGCTAGCACTAATAGTTTAGGAGATCTTCTCCAGACAAGATTACATTCTCATAGCCACAGCCTAAGTCACGTTTCCATGGAAACCACAAAAAATAAAATTTGCATCTGGGTCTAATCCCTAAAAGGCACATCTAGGGATCATGGTTGATATGTGTAACAAGTTTGGTTAAGCTATCACCAATAGTTTAGGAGATATGCTTCGGACAAAGTGTGACGTACGTCCTGGTTAAAAAGTTTTGGCTTACACACGAGTTTTGCCAAAAAGGTTGGGCAAGCACTCAATACTATCTTAATATATAGCTTTGCAAACTATCGGGCTTACACGAAAAGATTGGTTTGCTACCCGCATAAGGGCGTCATTGACAGACATTCTTCTGTCCTTAAATCTGACTTGAACAAACATTTTTCAAATTGACAAAACAAATTGTTTTGCTTGATTTGGTTTGTATGTGGAACTTTGAGCTCAACAGGCAACACTTGTGTCCATTACCTCCCTTCAGACGACTCTCTTCCTGCCCACGGAACATGAGATCGAAGCCCCAGGACTCAAGGTCGCGTAACTTTTTGTACACTGTTGAGTTGACCCAGGATGGCCACGAGACGTTGTGCTGCTTCTGTAACAGTAACATCAGCCTTAGTTGTCTCATACACGTCAAAAACACATTTTGTCACTCTGGTGGTTTTGTGGTTTATGGATGCTTTGATGATCAGTTTGATTCTGGATACATATGACCTGACAACTACAGGCTCCGTACCTCACCTAGTCAACTGAACACAACACATCTGTGTGGATCTCCTTCCATACACATGTTGGAGTAACTGATTTAGCTGGGGTGGAGGATGGTTGACAGTGGACAAGGGATGCTGACCATGGTTTAGTTGGGGTGGAGGATGGTTGACAGTGGACAAGAGATGCTGACATTGGTTTAGCTGAGGTGGAGGATGGTTGACAGTGGATGAGGGATGCTGACACTGGTTTAGTTGGGGTGGAGGATGGTTGACAGTGGACAAGAGATGCTGACATTGGTTTAGCTGAGGTGGAGGATGGTTGACAGTGGATGAGGGATGCTGACACTGGTTTAGTTGGGGTGGAGAATGGTTGACAATGGACAAGGGATGCTGACACTGGTTTAGTCGGGGTGGAGGATGGTTGACAGTGGACAAGGGTTGCTGACACTGGTTTAGTCGGGGTGGAGGATGGTTGACAGTGGACAAAGGATGCTGACACTGGTTTAGTCAGGGTGGAGGATGGTTGACAGATGACGAGGGATGCGAACACTTTAAAAGCTCTGCAATTCGGCAGCTGCCAATTCTGGATCTCGGCATGTCACCAATATTAATCCTGCGTTGAAATAACAAGGGTTTATGTGCGTGCGGCAGCCATCACATGTTAAGTAACTACATGGTTGCAGACAAAGATAATTTGTGCCGTCCCACATTGAGAACTTAGATAGTGTCGCCGAGAACAAAACAAGACTGTTTTTCAATTGTTTTGATTATCATGTTTATGTTATTCAGTGAATAAAACTGAATATGAGCTCAGTTCTAGGCGTAGGTAACAGTGTCAGCTCTACAATCCGGCACGCTGTCTAAACCGGATTATTTGTTCAGTCCCGACGAGTGCTGGTTTAGACAGCTTCCACTGTGGGAATGAGGCAGTTCGTATTCCCCATTTATAAATTACACGAACAAAACTGAAACAAAACAATAAACCCGAGGAAAAATCCCCCAACACTGCACATTCACAGTTAGTGTGAATCATAAGTAAACGTCTGTATAAATGTCTTCCCGATAATGGAAGCAATCTAATTAGCTACTTGTAACTCCAGGCTGGAGCTCTATATGGACGACCCTGTCGCTCAGCAATATGTCCCAAAAAAATGCCGATGATTAACGCTGTCGTCAGCTATGACCCCGAAATGCACAAGATTTTAAAACACACGTGCATATATGCATAGCGCTGGGTGTATTCGGGCGCGCTGACCCAAGCTTAAAACGAAAACATCTATTTCCTTCTGTTCACACTGTATATTGATCCATATTCAATACCAAAGTGCTGCAGGTTTACATGAATGTAAAACAAATTCACACCCAAACAAATCTCCTTCAGTGTAGGTTCCAGACCCATCCTTAAAGACTCATTTTTGTAAATTAAATAAACAATGAAAATGCAATCTCTAAGTATATGCCAATAACCACATTTAAACAAATCTAGATGGCTCTTTGAAGGTCAGATTTGCTAGGTTAGACATCAGACATTTTACAGGCAGGTGAAGCAACTGAGAGCTGACAGACAAAGCATGATAATCTTGTCTTTATAACCATCACGTGGTGGAGGGTAACTTCTAGTAAAACGTTCAACATGACAAGTGTTTGGCACCAGTGACTGATTTCATATGGAAGATAAAGAACATGCAGGTATGTAAATATTCCAATATATGAGAAATGACTGTATTTTTCTTATCTTTTCACTTACTCACCTCACAGAAGAGTGTGTCAGAAAGCCAGCGATCTGCCAGATGTCAGCAATAGACTCATGGGATACACCTGTCACTCTTGTGATGAACTCATAGAAAGCCTGAAAAAACCCCACACACATCTTTACAGTACCTGGACTGTCTCGCTATCAGTACCTGGACTGATACAGACAGTATTGAGGGAGACTGTACAGAGGAATGTACCATGTTATCAGTACCTGGACTGATACAGACAGTATTGAGGGAGACAGTACAGAGGGATGTACCATGTTATCAGTACCTGGACTGATACAGACAGTATTGAGGAGACAGTACAGAGTACCAGAGGGATGTACCATGTTATCATGTATCCTGGACTGATACAGACAGTATTGAGGGAGACAGTATCAGACCTGGATGTACCATGTTATCAGAGGGATGTACCATGTTATCAGATACTGGACTGACAGAGTATTGAGGGAGACTGTACAGAGGGATGTACCATGTTATCAGTACCTGGACTGATACAGACAGTATTGAGGGAGACTGTACAGAGGGATGTACCATGTTATCAGTACCTGGATGATACAGACAGTATTGTTATGTACAGAGGGATGTACCATGTTATCAGGACTGATACAGACAGTATTGAGGGAGACAGTACCTGGACAGTACAGAGGGATGTACCATGTTATCAGTACCTGGACTGATACAGACAGTATTGAGGGAGATTGTACAGAGGGATGTACCATGTTATCAGTACCTGGACTGATACAGACAGTATTGAGGGAGACTGTACAGAGGGATGTACCATGTTATCAGTACCTGGACTGATACAGACAGTATTGAGGGAGACAGTACAGAGGGATGTACCATGTTATCAGTACCTGGACTGATACAGACAGTATTGAGGGAGACTGTACAGAGGGATGTACCATGTTATCAGTACCTGGACTGATACAGACAGTATTGAGGGAGACAGTACAGAGGGATGTACCATGTTATCAGTACCTGGACTGATACAGACAGTATTGAGGGAGACTGTACAGAGGGAGACTGTACAGAGGGATGTACCATGTTATCAGTACCTGGACTGATACAGACAGTACAGAGGGATGTACCATGTTATCAGTACCTGGACTGATACAGACAGTATTGAGGGAGACTGTACAGAGGGAGACTGTACGATGTACCATGTTATCAGTACCTGGACTGATACAGACAGTACAGAGGGATGTACCATGTTATCAGTACCTTGTTCTGGGACTCCTCCTCCTTCACACGATCTGACTTGAGGCTGGCATTATACAGCTGGTCATACCATGGACAGTCCTCGCCCATGTTCAGCTCCTAAACATCAAACAGAAAGGTGTGGAGACTGAGTGCTAGGACATCGGTTCACCCTATACTAAACCTTCAAATTTACACATCTGATAAACCGGAAAAGGAAAAGGGGTTTTTGAGGAAAGTGTAACCAAAAAGCCTGAATGTGTCTCCAGTCCAATCTGTGCACCATGTAGTCATGAACCACTACTCTTTGGATTTCTGTGGTCTTTAACAAGCAGACATGTCAATTTTAAACCCCTGTTTTGCTGATGTTCAAATTTATTCAAATGTTGGTGAAGGCCTGGAAAAATGTTCAGCAAATATGTACATATCTCCTCACATGTTCAGATGGTAGTACACTTCCTGATACTGCTGAGCCATTCTGGTACTCAGTAAGCATCTGTTACTATTCATGAACACTAAGAGAGGACTCCAGGGCAGTCTACTGGTTAGCTGAAGCAAACACTTACATTGTCCTCCTCTTCTGGTCTGGTGTGGACGGGGATTGGCTGCCAGGGGATGTTGCTGTTCCACACTTGATCCCCACTTGGAGGGTACAGACCGGCCAGGTTGGAGTAGGCAGACATCAGACACCTGTCCACATTTGAACTCTGCACCTGGATCTGGTAACACAAGTAAACAACAGTTTGCTAGTACATACCACAGCAAACATTTACAACAAGCAGAGGAACTTCGATAGAAGCATGTTCAATTGTTAACCAGAGTGCAACAAGCAGCTGTAACCCAGTGAGTTGAGTCCCTTGAAAATGCCAGGATCTACTTGCGGAGTATCCCGCACTACCCTATAAAACAGGTTCTACATGGTATAGGCGAAAGTTTTAGGACCAAAATTCTGAAGAACTGAGAAGATTGACTGCAGAGACAGTGTCAGAATATACTGAGAGAAACAAATAAAGGAACACAGGAAAATTCATGCGGTCCTTTAATATTTTCCAGTTTTCATCACCAGCTTTGAATAGTGCTGTGGGAGGAAATCTGAGAGTAAAAAAAGGAAAACGGCCATGAAGTGGTGTTCCCTTATTTGTTTCCTTCAGTATATATAACTGATCAGCATCAGCATCACTAGGAGAGTGATGAGAGGAGTCAACACTTGATCCAAGAGACCTCCACTAAAGTAGTAACTTAAACCCAACTCCCTCACTAATGAACTCCCTACCTCAGTGTGGATGTACTTGTCACTAAGGAATCCATTATAACGGCGTCGGAGGAAGCGGCCCAGTGAGTACTGTTCCTGCATCCCAAACTGAAAACAGTGAACAATGTTATATTACACAGCTACTACAATGTTTCTTATACAGGTAGAGGAAAAGTGCATGACATTAAACCTTGAGCCACCAACACTGCAGTTCAGTCGGATACTTAGACAACAGTTCCAAACGGCATGTACCACTGACAATAACCCACTGACTCAAAAACTTTCTGCATAAGTTGTAAGGTTACAATACTGTGACATTTTTCACAAAATGTATAGTCCCCATAACAGAAAAATCCAGCGTTCTCTGTCTGGCAATTTCAGGAGTAAGTGAGTGAGTATGGTTTAACGCCACTTTTAGCAATATTCCAGCAATATCACTGTGGGGGACACCAGAAATGGGCTTCACACAATGTACCCATGTGGGGAATCAAACCTGGGTCTTCAGTGTGACGAGCGGACACTTTAACCATTAGGCTACCCCGCTGCCCCATGGCAATTTCAGGAGAAGACATTTTGAGCCCAATATACATTGTGAAAGAACTGAAGAGCATGGTCAAATCATTAAGGTCAAAATTCACAGCATTGTTAAAAATGGACCATATGCATCGAGTCTCACTACAAGCTATCCAAATGGCAAAAATCAGTTTATGAACATAATGTTTGAGTAACAGGTCTGAGTAATGGCTAGAAGTAATGGCTAGAGTGAGTGAGTGAGTGAGTTTGGTTTTACGCCGCTTTTAGCAATATTCCAGCAATATCACGGCGGGGGACACCAGAAATGAGCTTCACACAATGTACCCATGTGGGGATTCGAACCCGGGTCTTCGGCGTGATGAGCGAATGCTTTAACCACTAGTAATGGCTAGAAGTAACATTCCTAATACTACTGCTAACATGCCCATCTTGAAAATCTGTGCCAAAACTGCTTGAACAAACATGTGACGTTGGTCCAGTGCTTTCTGAGGAGATGTTTATGTCATGCAAATATTAGTATCAATAGATCAGTGTCTTTTTCTTAAGTGAGTGTACAAGACCTAGAAACCTTTAGATAATGATAACAACATTGGGGCGTCTGACGTGTGTCTGAAATCACAGACTGCCTCACAAAGGCAGCAAGTCTTTTTCCTGCATACGTTTTGTGAGGTGTTTTTACCTTTTTGAGAGTTTTCTGAACTAAAGTTTTCAAGGTTAAGATAGGATAAACGTTAAATAGAAGTAGGTTGAGGGCAAGATACGAAGATAGTATTTTTAGCCTAATTGCATGCACTTCCCCTTACAGGGATCTACAGACTAGCTGTGGATTGGCCCAGCATGCACCCAGCAGGTGCTTGTACAGCTTACAGTAGACAGCCAGCCCAGTCCTTGAGGCCATGTCTCGTTGACAAGGTTGGGGTTCTTTGGATAGGTCAATGTCGGGCTTCGGTCACCATGGCGATACACCTGAACAGAGAATCACTATTGTCAGATGTTTTCAGAATAAACTGCTCATAAATATCCTATTTAATCAAATGTAACCAGGTACATGCTATTCTATGTAACCAGATAATTGACAATTACATGTATCTGCATGTCCATTTAATTTGAAACTGATTGGTAGAGTTAAAGCTTGTAAATAATAACAAACAACACATACACGAGGGAAACATATTTGGTTTTTCACTATGAATCACTGTAATCTGTATCTGTAATCTGTAATCTGTAAATCTGATATGCTACCCATGTGGCAAGGTAATAACAGACTGGATAGTCAGGCCCAGCAAGTACACTTGTGTCGTCATCAGCCCCATACATCCTAGCCTTGGTTGAACAGCTGATCATCTGTAATGCTTGTCAATTATTTGGACCACAAAGGGAGCACTGTAGTGAGGAATCACCATATCACAATAACAATCACCTGATGTGATGGATGACTGGTCATGATAACATGGCGACGACATGCACAGGTGGACTGCTGGCATGAACATACTGTGGACAAGGTGTGGCTAGTTGCAGTCTAAGTAAACTTAGGCTCAGTATTATGCATTACACTGCTATACTGATACCTATGACCCTTCAATAAAATGCTAGACGGACAAACGGATTTAAACAATCAGACACCAGCTACTATTTAGGGTTCGACGGGACTTACAAACTGTTTTTAGATTTTCTCTTCCCCGGTCGCTGACCCTGATCTCTCAACGAACGAAAATCCACATAAAACAATGATATTTGACCTGCAGTATATACGCATAGGGGTTTCTGATGACATGGTTACTATTAGCTTCTATTCTTGCAAGATGACATCCTGGAATATTGAAAAAAGCTGTTTTCAACGACTGTTTACTCACTCTTGTAAATAGTCACGTTATTATCACTCAATGTTTATCACTCAGAAGCGATTGCACAGAAAATAGCATTCGAAATCGTTCGAGTACAAACATTTTGGAGGTAAAGTTCAAACAGTATGTGCAAATGTTAACTTTCGTGAGTGGGTAAGCTGTGTCCTGATTGGTCAATTCAAAAGGTTAGCTGACGTGACCTTCTACTAGGGTTTGTTAGACTCAGTATAGTAGTGTAACTCTCAGTTTACTCAGACGGTGGTTAGTTGGTCACTTGCCTGAACAAAAATGTCATACAGTATGTCTGGCTAGTTGGTCACTTGCCTGAACAAAGTGTCATACAGTATCTCTGGCTAGTTGGTCACTTGCCTGAACAATATGTGATACAGTATCTCTGGCTAGTTGGTCACTTGCCTGAACAAAGTGTCATACAGTATCTCTGGCTAGTTGGTCACTTGCCTGAACAATATGTGATACAGTATCTCTGGCTAGTTGGTCACTTGCCTGAACAAAGTGTCATACAGTATCTCTGGCTAGTTGGTCACTTGTCTCAACAATATGTGATACAGTATCTCTGGCTAGTTGGTCACTTGCCTGAACAAAGTGTAATACAGTATCTCTGGCTAGTTGGTCACTTGTCTCAACAATATGTCATACAGTTTATCTGGCTAGTTGGTCACTTGTCTCAACAATATGTCATACAGTATCTCTGGCTAGTTGGTCACTTGCCTGAACAAAGTGTCATACAGTATCTCTGGCTAGTTGGTCACTTGCCTGAACAATATGTCATACAGTATCTCTGGCTAGTTGGTCACTTGCCTGAACAAAGTGTCCTACAGTATGTCTGGCTAGTTGGTCACTTGCCTGAACAAAGTGTCATACAGTATCTCTGGCTAGTTGGTCACTTGCCTGAACAATATGTCATACAGTATCTCGGGATAGTTGGTCACTTGCCTGAACAATATGTGATACAGTATGTCTGGCTAGTTGGTCACTTGCCTCAACAATATGTGATACAGTATGTCTGGCTAGTTGGTCACTTGTCTCAACAATATGTCATACAGTATCTCTGGCTAGTTGGTCACTTGTCTCAACAATATGTGATACAGTATGTCTGGCTAGTTGGTCACTTGTCTCAACAATATCCTACAGTATGTCTGGATAGTTGGTCACTTGCCTCAACAAAGTGTCATACAGTATGTCTGGCTAGTTGGTCACTTGTCTCAACAATATGTCATACAGTATCTCTGGCTAGTTGGTCACTTGTCTGAACAAAGTGTCCTACAGTATGTCTGGCTAGTTGGTCACTTGTCTGAACAATATGTCCTACAGTATGTCTGGCTAGTTGGTCACTTGCCTGAACAATATGTGATACAGTATGTCTGGCTAGTTGGTCACTTGTCTGAACAAAGTGTCATACAGTATCTCTAGCTAGTTGGTCACTTGCCTGAACAATATGTGATACAGTATGTCTGGCTAGTTGGTCACTTGCCTGAACAATATGTCATACAGTATCTCTGGCTAGTTGGTCACTTGTCTGAACAAAGTGTCCTACAGTATCTCTGGCTAGTTGGTCACTTGCCTGAACAATATGTGATACAGTATCTCTGGCTAGTTGGTCACTTGTCTGAACAATATGTCCTACAGTATGTCTGGCTAGTTGGTCACTTGTCTCAACAATATGTGATACAGTATCTCTGGCTAGTTGGTCACTTGTCTCAACAATATGTCATACAGTATCTCTGGCTAGTTGGTCACTTGTCTCAACAATATGTCCTACAGTATCTCTGGCTAGTTGGTCACTTGTCTGAACAATATGTCATACAGTATGTCTGGCTAGTTGGTCACTTGTCTCAACAATATGTCCTACAGTATCTCTGGCTAGTTGGTCACTTGTCTGAACAATATGTCATACAGTATGTCTGGCTAGTTGGTCACTTGTCTGAACAATATGTCCTACAGTATGTCTGGCTAGTTGGTCACTTGTCTCAACAAAGTGTCCTACAGTATGTCTGGCTAGTTGGTCACTTGTCTCAACAATATGTCCTACAGTATGTCTGGCTAGTTGGTCACTTGTCTCAACAATATGTCATACAGTATCTCTGGCTAGTTGGTCACTTGTCTGAACAATATGTCATACAGTATGTCTGGCTAGTTGGTCACTTGTCTCAACAATATGTCCTACAGTATCTCTGGCTAGTTGGTCACTTGTCTCAACAATATGTCCTACAGTATCTCTGGCTAGTTGGTCACTTGTCTCAACAATATGTCATACAGTATCTCTGGCTAGTTGGTCACTTGTCTCAACAATATGTCATACAGTATGTCTGGCTAGTTGGTCACTTGTCTCAACAATATGTCATACAGTATGTCTGGCTAGTTGGTCACTTGTCTGAACAATATGTCATACAGTATGTCTGGCTAGTTGGTCACTTGTCTCAACAATATGTCATACAGTATCTCTGGCTAGTTGGTCACTTGTCTCAACAATATGTCCTACAGTATGTCTGGCTAGTTGGTCACTTGCCTGAACAATATGTGATACAGTATGTCTGGCTAGTTGGTCACTTGTCTGAACAATATGTCCTACAGTATCTCTGGCTAGTTGGCCACTTGTCTCAACAAAGTGTCATACAGTATCTCTGGCTAGTTGGCCACTTGTCTGGAAAATATTTCGTTATCAATGCAGATCAGGTTTTCCTCGTTTCCTGGCTTGACGATCACATGTATTTGTTATGCAAATATTACAGAAAAAATTCAAGTTATTTTTTTTTCTGCAATGTTTCACTTTTGGTTTCAGATAAGGTACTGGCAAATATGTTTACCGTAAGGCAGATAACATATTTGCCTGTTTCATGTGTTTAGTCATCCCTCAACACACACACAAATCTCTCCATAATACCATGTTAATACATGGCAGAATAGTCAATTCCTCAGTCACACATGACACACGACCTACATCAATCAATATTGATTTGATGTTATACATTGACCATATGAAAACACGGAAATGATGACCTGATATTGCTACACCAGTGCTTTTGGCTATTTTTAATACTTAACATGCTTAAGGGGATAAATGTTGAGTTAATATGTTTACAGAATAGAATTTATTTCACTGTTGAATCAATTTTAAAATGTTAGCCCCTTGACTGTACTCACAAATCACATGAATGTGGCTATTTTTTCACCTGGCTGACTGCACCATGTCTTTACAAAAGACTGCAACTTATATTGGTCAACATTGCTTAAGACTTTGGAGTAAATACAGTTCACAGTGAATCCTCCTTTCAATATAAACAAATTTATTCATATTTGACATAATATTTTCTTAACGTTCGTTCACATCAGGGAATACGTAAAGCAAAAGAATAACCTAAATTGCCTGAAAATTGGTTATTTACACTGTAAACATTCCTAATGGTATCCACAACTCATAAAGCATAATATATATGAACAGATGTTCTGGAAATGTTGGCCACATAACTATAACTTATATATAAGCACACAAGTGCTAAAATACCTTCTCTCTGATATCCATATATCACAGGTGCAGGCTTTAATGTTATTAACTGCTGCATAATATATGCATCTCATCACAGAACAAGCTGCACATCCAGCATGGTTATTATCTATAGAGGAATCGGTAACTTCAGTGATAAATCTATGCTGACATTTACCAGCCAGTTATATTACTGTGACAATATGTGGAGGAAGCTTTACATGTCCTTGATAATTACAATATAATTAAAGGTTCACAAGTTTCATAAAAATATTTTCTAAAAAAAATAGAGAAAATGGTATCTGAAAAGAAAGAGTGGTACTTACATAAGTTCAGAAAGTATTTATATGTAAATACATGTACAAACCAATTTGTATTTGTTTAACTGACCAAATGTAACATGGCTGCCAGCCCTGCTGTAAGTGAACATTGGTACTAGTATATGCCAAAAGGCGGGTAATCTTTACATTTCCACGTATATACACATTACAAAGGTGATCTGTTATCATGTACAGACTGTTAGATATTTATGAACTACTTCAAGAGTATAGTTGTTGGTATGCAGAGCATCTGCAAAAGCACTCAAAAAAAAAAAGTATAACAGTGTCCCTCTCTCCAAATGTCAAGCCCACACTTGTTCACTCATACGGCCAGCATCCCAATAAACTATAGTCCGTTTGGCTCAAAAGCGGACCGATGAATTGCAATCTAACTCGAAAACTTATAAACATAACATGCTCAATGAAACACTGATCATAATGAAAACGTCATACCAACTCTGAGAGGAGTTTGCAGAATTTATGTCCTAAAAATTAAAAAGTTGTTTAACAAACTATCATTAAAATATCGACACAGTTCACTATTTGTTACGAGGGAGGAGTGCAGAGAAAGGGACAGACGAGTGTGTGAGAAAGGATGGAGACGGCACAGCACAGGTTAATGAATCAATAACTTTGTCGGCACTTGTGCACGTGCTTCTCTAACACCTGGCTGTCCCTTCCTCTGCACTCCTCCCTCGTAACAAATAGTGAACTGTGTCAATATTTTAATGATAGTTTGTTAAACAACTTTTTTAATTTTAGGACATAAATTCTGCAAACAAATCACAGAGTTGGTCTGATATTTTGATTATGATCAGCGTTTCATTGAGTATTATAGTTTTTGAGTTAGATTCAATCGGTCCGCTTTTGAGCCAAACGCACTATAACTTCGCTTTCTTTTGGTTTGGTTTCCTTATGTATTTGCAAATTCCTGTCCTCACCATTTTGGTAAGAGAACATCTTGAGATTTTCAAATATTATGTCAAGTGTAAAGAAGAAGAGATAAAAGTCCTCAGACATTCACTGATGGGTTCAAATAAAGGTCAAACAGACAACCATGATATATACATTGCATTTTACAGTCAAGATCAATATAGAATGTCATTGTTCACATCTCAGATGTTTTGGGACTTACAGAATTTTTTATATGATTGATATCGGAAGAATTCAGTTGGAAGATCTGAATACACAGTGACAGAGATGTAGTATTCATTAACACACATTTAAAAAACAACAACACTGCCACAAAATGTGATTTGAAAAAGAGACAGCCCAGCCTCAGTAAAGCAAAGCAGCGGAAAATCACATAAGTCTGATCATGCTGACGTTCACGTATCTGAAAGTACTGTACAGCACTTCATGAGAATCGTTAGCACTGTAAGATTGTGAGTGTTTCTCACACCGACGTCAGGCAGTACTAGCTATTTACTTCAGTCAGTACCTTCACTGAATGTATATTTATGTCTATAAATACTGTACCACTAGGCTAAACATACCGAAATAAAGAATCTGAATCAGTAAAGGCTTATGACATTGCACCTTAAAAAGTGAAACATTTATCGTAATACGAGTATAACAACTGACTATCATCAACTGATGTTTACACACATGTTTACATTAGATAACCACACGGAACTGGTGGTAAGAAACTACAACAGAAGTACATAATGACAGCACAGTTAATCCAGCTATACTCACCAGGTTGACAAGTTTCAGTGAAGACGGAGCTCCAGCGTTGGCTGACAGACAAAGACAAACTATTATACCTAGAAGTAGAACTTCACACCAGCCCATCATACTGGCCAAGTCACAAGTGTTTTCATCAATGTAACAACATCAAACTCGACAATATAACAAACAAACACCCTCAGCCACTGAAGAGTGCTGTCCCTACCAAAGCGGAACTATCATGCGATGAACAGAGTGGCCTCCCTTCGACAGTAAGCACACTCCGGCATAAGCTGGTTCCCGGCTCCCTTTGCGATATGCGAGACGGGGCCCAGCTTAACTCCGGCACAGCGGTCACGTGATATGCAAATTAGCCTGTGGCAGCTTATGACATAACATCACTGCCACAGGCTAATTTGCATATCACGTGACCAGACTTTTCTCTTGTTTGTTATCAAACGCGCATATTCATAATAAGAAGAAACTGGACTCACGAAAGCTTTTCGGCGCTCTCTTCATAATGTTTTACATTGTTACATATATATTCTTCCACAACTGCAACAGTAAGGTCTATGACAGTACATATTTAGATATCAAACTGGCTGCATCGTTCGCTCTCCATCAGCTTCGATGACAGCACGTGGAGCCGTACAACCTATGTAAACAAAGGATCGCTACGCAAATCGAAATAGTGTTACATGTTTTTGGATATTTTCTCAGTGAAACAAAACCATTCTATTAAAGATGTTTAGTTAGATGTGTAGACTCGTCAAAAATAAAAGAGTAAAAGAAATCTGTACATTATTGAATGGACATTGCAAGATGTGACGAATCGTCACATTTTTCTGGCCTGTGGCAGAGGTATTTTGCTGGCTTGCCGCATGGAACTCTGGGTAGGAGAGTGGACAGTAAGGTGAAAAAGGAATGACCCGCAGTGCGCAGGGGACTGCCTAAAACCCGGGCCAAGAATGCCGTGCCGGAACGGACCGGGTCATTCTGTAATCCTAAAAATGGATTGTAGGATATTAAAACGAAAAATGTTCATCTGATTCATCACATCCAGCATTCATAAATGTATAGTTTGTCTAAGTTTGAATCAAAATGTATATTTAACAATGAAATATATAGAAAACTATGGCTACATGCTGGGCGTATACATTGAAAATACATTGTATTGATGCTATGTGTTTTCTTTGATATGTGTTTTGACTTCCTTTTCTCCTTAATTTACCTTCATTAAATGAATGAATGGTTTATTGTCATGAAGATCGCAATAGTGACATAGAGGAAAATACAAATGTACAGGTTTGTCTATGTTAGCATACGTAGGCCAGTTTTCACACAGTTGCTTATTTTTAACAGTTGTGCTTTATGCACTAGGGATATAATTTATCTGATGATAAGTAATTACAATAATAGTTTGGTAGGAATGAATTTCTTAATTTCTTAAATTCATCTCCTATTGTATTTTTACACAATGTAATTATCTTTCTTCTTTGATAACATTATATACCATCTACCTGTTTCTATTGGGAGTTTATGGTTACAAAAAGTACCAACGCCTTGAACGTGCACTAGTGCGTGGATATGTGCGCTATATAAATATCCAATAATAATAATGATAATAAAAAGTTCTAATATAGGTAAACCAAATATAGTTTAAGCCAGTACATTTCAAAATTGATTTAACAACATTGATAAGCGCTAAATATATATTTGGGTCATTCGTTTTCATTGTAAACATGATCCTGTATAAAATACTAGACAATGTGCCATTTGATGACATCAGTTTACACCAATATGAAATGATTATTGGTTCATCCTGAAGCAGCACAGGATGTTTATCTTATTGTGAAAGTGGATACTGATCTATTTGATTGGCATTTTAGAAGTTGATGAAAATTAATAAAGATAAGATACTTAATGGTCAGCGTCTCTGTTGCATTATAATGCGTCACATGCCAGTCATCACTAAATATAACTTCTGATGTAAATATAGGATAAATGCTTATAGCCTTATACAATATACTGAACTTCTTAACATTAACATTGAGGGCTTTACTTTGAGCAACGTGCTTGCTTCAAACACAAGGCTTTGCTTTCACTACTTCAGATTTAGTAATTGTAAAAGTTGAGTACATATAGATACAACAGTATTCTACATCAGTAAACAGACATGAAGTTTAAGTTGCTTAAACCGATCGGGCGAAGTCGGACCGAACAATTGTGACGGAATGGAATGCATGCTTTATTTTGACAGATCCAAATCACAAACCTCTATTTTGAATGAATTCGTCACGCAGTTTAGACACAGTTTATTTCTGCTTCAATACAATACGCGAAAGTCCCCAGCGTTGATTCAATGAGCGAGTGAGTCTAGGATTACGCCGCACTCACTCAGCAATATTCCAGCTGTATGGTGGAGGTCTGTAAATAATCGTGGACCAGACAATCCAGTGACCAACAGCATGAGCATCGATCTACGCAACTGGGATACGATGACATGTGTCAACCAAGTCAGCAAGCCTGACCACCCGATCCTGTTAGTCGCCTCTTACGACAAGCATGGGTTACTGAAGATCAATTCTAACCCGGGTCTTAAGGAGAATACACTTGCTATTTTGAGCTGCAATCGTATCACATGTACAACTGTTATATGTATAACGTTCATCACATATTGTGTAAGTAGGCTAAAGTAATTATTTTATAGCGAAAACCTGTCAGCATGCAGAGACCATATGATATGTAATATAATCTTATTATATGTTTTCTGCTGTCAGCAATAGAGAGATTTGCCAGTAACATCACAAAGTGATGTTTTGTTGTTATTTTAACTGAAACTAATCTGAAAACGTCATCTACATATAGATGAAGATGGAAGAAAGTAAAGCACATATTGACAAAATGTGTGAAGGCGGATTGGTAAGTACATGTATATATTAGTACTACCTCAGATGTCATACTACGTTATCAGTGACAATGTATATTCAATGGAAACTAATGAGCTAGGTTGAGTCTAGTTACATTGTATAAGAACACGGTTATCGCCTCTCAACTGAAAGATTGTGAAGAAAAATCAGAAATATGATACTTTCAAAAAGGATAGTTTGCAGTTAAAATGTATGCATTAGTCTGTCATACACACCCTAGCTGAAACAAATATATCCAAGAAAGCCCATGCAAGTCTAGATTTCCACAGTTTCTGAAAATGAAGAAAGTCTCTGGGCTCCTTTTTATTATACTTAATGATTATAATTCAGGAACTGTTTTTTTCTGTAAAATATGTTCATTTCAGACACTACCTGCTAATGTACACATGCCTCCACTGAATACACTCTTATTAAAATCAACTCTGAATTAAGTAGAAATAGTACATCAGAAGTAATTGAATTGGTTTATGTAAGTAAGTATATGTGGCAGTATGACCACCATCATACGCCTCACATGATGGGACATGTACATGTTTCTCCCACGCTTTACTCCAATGTAAGTAATCATACTGGCAACACTCTGTTAACCAAGACAAAGTTGTACACATTAAAATATCTATGGATTGACTAACGCTTAGTCTCTGAATATACATAATTGTGATAGTAACAAACAAGCCCATTTAAACTGAAAAGGAGCCCCAGGGAGACCAGAGATTCAGAACCCGAGGAAATCTAGACTTGCTTTATTTAGGGCTTTAGCACTGCAGATAGGGCTTGGCAGTAGGGGGAATAATGTGGCTCAGGGACTGTGAGACAGACTATATCTATGGGTTACAATTTGTTAAGCTCCCGCTTTGAGAAAAAAACGTCGGGTCAATCGTTCAGGGCTTTCGATAGGTCGTTTATACGAAGAACTTGGGTCAAATACTTATGTAAAGAACAACTATGTATGCAGATTTTAAAGCTGAAATAATAAACTGAAATTTTAGCAAAAACACATGAAAGAGATCCACGGTGAGAAGTGTGCGTGAGTTTGGTTTAAAACAGAATTAAATGTAGAATAGAACAGAACAGCATCTCGGTTATTTCACGGCGTGTCTGTGTAATGTGGGAGGAAATCCCGAAGTGATGTAGGAAGTCTACAACCTTGGTGTAACCCAGGCGTGGTGTAACCCAGGCGTGAGGGTATAGAGCTGACAAACATACAACCATAATCAGGGAGAACAAGGATTCCACCTTGCGGTCAGGGACGTGTGTCTGCTCAAAGAATAGCGGCGTTTTAGGATGAGGCCACAAAGAGAAGAGTTTTGAGTTACGAACTTCAAGAAATGATGGCTGGACAAAATAAAACACGCAGTTTAACACCGACATGCCACTCATACGCATTACACTAACTCCGACACCACCAGGCCAGGTTTTATACCCAACTGCGGCGCCACAACCAGGGTAACAACCAGTACGCAAAATGTTTGGCATGACGCAGGGGGATCAAACTATCGACCTTCCACTCCTGACAGACGATCTAGCCACAACACCAAGCAGGCGGTGGCTTTATTATGGAACTAGGCTGTGTAGACAAGCTCGACAGAGTCGAGAGTCACGTATTGTACAAAACCATGGTTGATTTATTACTGTTTACAGACGGCCACTGAATACATCCAAATAACATGCCACTCTGTACACCTATAATACAAACGCAAAGACTTATTAAATGCTTTTCATGAATGAATTTGCGAGAACTAACTTCGGGCGTATATTTCATAAGAAGATTTGAAACATTTTCACCAGATGAAATATTGGGTTCTCATTGCTGAAGTTTCACATATATTGGCTCGGAAACCTGAAAGATGCTTACAACTACGAAGAAGATGCTTACATCTATGTAGAAGATGCTTACATCTATGTAGAAGATACTTACATCTATGTAGAAGATGCTTACATCTACCTAGAAGATGCTTACATCTATGTAGAAGATACTTACATCTACCTAGAAGATGCTTACATCTATGTAGAAGATACTTACATCTATGTAGAAGATACTTACATCTACCTAGAAGATACTTACATCTACCTAGAAGATGCTTACATCTATGTAGAAGATGCTTACATCTACCTAGAAGATGCTTACATCTATGTAGAAGATGCTTACATCTACCTAGAAGATGCTTACATCTATGTAGAAGATGCTTACATCTACCTAGAAGATACATCTACCTAGAAGATGCTTACATCTATGTAGAAGATACTTACATCTATAGAAGTAGAAGATACATCTACATCTACCTAGAAGATGCTTACATCTAGCCTAG